GGCGTGATAGCCGTGGAGACCCGGACGGTGGAACTTGCCATACCAGCTGATCCAGCAAACCCAGAATCAGAAGCAAAGGTTGTGCCTTGCAGAATTCAGAACCTTTTGTCTTGCAGGGCATCTTGTCAGTTTACCTGTCCATCTCTCTGCCTTGCGTTTCTCAAGCTTCCTAGAATACAAATCCACATCACATTGTCGTCTCCAGTAAAAGGACACCTCTGTGAAATCGTCCCTCCCCATACAATGTGTCAAGGACCTATTTTTGCATAATGCCTGATTGGTGTATTAATTCAGGGTGACCCGTAAATTTTTCCTTCTCGTCTTCCCTAGATAATCCAGCAAGCCGGGCAGGTCTGGTTCCCAGACTCAGCTTTTAAAACTGTCCAGGCCATCAGGGACTTTGACCGCGAGCACCTTCCCCTCTTGATCTTCGCCAACTGGAGGGGCTTCTCTGGCGGCATGAAAGGTACTCTTCCTGCACCTCCTCCCATCACATCAGTGGCTGCCAGAGAGAGAAGGTGGGGGTGACTTCTCGGCCTCTGGTTGCAGATATGTACGACCAGGTGCTGAAGTTCGGGGCGTCCATTGTCGACAGCCTCCGGCAGTTCAAGCAGCCAGCCCTCGTCTACATCCCCCCACATGCTGAGCTGCGGGGGGGCTCCTGGGTGGTGATTGACTCCACCATCAACCCCCTCCACGTGGAGCTCTATGCAGACAAAGAGAGCAGGTGAGTGCACGGCTGCATCCTCACCTTCTTTGTGGTCACGTCTTGGGGTGGCAATCCTGGGCTACTGAAATTGGCCTGCTCTCCAAAACATCTCCTAATCTGTGAGCTTCTGCCTGGCTAGAATGACAGCTACAGGTGTCTTTATTTTTGCTGAAGACCTTGAGACATTTTGTGTACTGATCAGGGTGTCAGTGGAAAAGGTTGTAAGTTTTCCTTACAAAAGCAACTTGTTCCTTAAGTTTGCCTGCTTCCAGGGCCCATGGTGAAATGCTGGCCAGAGACTCTGGAGGCCCAAGGGATCAAGACACACACACACACCGGGTTACCTGGGGGGAGGCTTGTTCTGACTGTCCAGCGCACGTCAGCACAAGAGGAGGGGCCGCTGAAGACCCCTCGGGAGCTTCCCTGGCCCATCCCAGTTGGCAAAAGAGCTCTGCTTTGCAGGGGAGGCATCCTGGAAGCGGAAGGAACCGTGGAGATCAAGTTCAGGAAGAAAGAGCTGCTCAAGGCCATGAGGAGGGTCGATGTCACCTATGCGCGGCTGGCGCAGCAGCTGAGTAAGCGGAAGGCCAAGCAGGCCTGCCCTGCTCCCCTTTCCTCCTGCTGCTGCTGCTGCCTGGTCTGCAGCTATTGGGGGAGCAGGGCTTCGGGTGGGAACATCGTCCTTGGGCTGGCGGGGCTCTCCTCCCCAGCCCACCTACCCACAAGCCTCAGGCTTACGGGGCCCTCCCAGAGCGGCTCCTTTCCGATCGGTCCTTTCTGTGTTCTGGGACAAGCAGGTTCTCCGGACCTGCCACGAGGGGAGCGCAAAGAACTGGAGCAGCAGCTGAAGAGGCGAGAAGATCACCTCCTGCCCATCTTCCACCAGGTGGCCGTGCATTTTGCTGACCTCCACGACACCCCCGGGAGGATGCAGGAGAAAGGAGTGATTGCAGTAAGCAGCCGGGCCTGGAACCCTGGAAGGGATTCTGCTTCCCTTGAGCTTCTCCCAGCCCAGCCAGGGGTCTTGGGGGCTGTTTGGGGCTTCTGGTCTCTCAGCCTCAAGTTCCTGAGCAGCTCTGCAGCCGAGGGGCAGGACTGCCCTGTTAACTGCCGTCTGGGGCCACTCGACTGCGCTTTCTCTGCAGCTCTGAGCTTTTAAGGGTGGAGAAAAACCAGAAAGGGCTCCTTAAGGGATTGAATAAACGCCAGGCATGTCTTGCAGAGGACAGGTGGGTTAGGAAGACCTGAGTCTGTGCGCAGTAACAGTTGTGGGAATGTGTCCCGCAGTGATTTGGCGTGTGGTCTTCCATTTCAGGACATTCTTCAGTGGAAGGACAGCCGCATCTTTTTCTACTGGCGGCTGCGGCGGCTGCTGTTGGAGGAGGTGGTCAAGGCCGAGATCCTGAGTGCCCACAGCGAGCTGAGCAACAGCCACATCCAGTCCATGTTGCGACGCTGGTTCCTGGAGATGGAAGGCGCAGTCAAGGTCTGGGAGGGGAAGCGGCTTCCCTCGTCTCTCACTGCTCTTGCTCTCCCTCCTTCCCAGCTGAGGGCAGCTCTCCATTTCTCCCTCATGTAGGGTTACCTCTGGGATAACAACCAGGTGGTGGTGGCATGGCTTGAGAAGCACCTGAGCGAAGAGGACGGAGCCAAGTCGGCCATCCAGGAGAACATCAGATACCTGAAGCGCGATTATGCCCTGAAACATATCCGGAAGTGAGTCCCCAGGAGAGTTCCCTTCCTGGGGGGGGGGTGTTCTCTGAGAGGGCCCATGGATCGGTCATTCCGGGGCATCGGAATTGAACGGTTGGGATGGCCTAGGAAGAGGCCTGGGAGCCCCGAGGGCATTTCTTGGAGCTGGCAGGAATCAAACACTTTGTATTTTCTGCTTCAACGAGAGCGCAGAATGAGTGCGTCCTTTGCTCTCTAGAGATCGTAAGATTTAGGCTGCCTGCATTGCTTCGGTATGCAATACGTGAAGAGGACGCGAGAGGGCATTTAAAGGCTTCCGATGAAAGAGGGAACTCTTCGTCTCCGGATGCTGAGATGCCAGGATATTACGTGTTTCCAAAGTGCGCCTCTTTACTGGCCTACTCGCTTCGACTTTTCTTCTTAATTTTTGCTTACCTTGAAATAGTTGCTGAGCAAAACACCAGTTGTGTTTGTGACTCACAAATTCAGAAGAGGAAATAAACTTTTTGCATTAAATCCTGGTAATTAAATCCCTCTTCTCTCTTTCAGCTTGATAGAGGCAAACCCAGAGGTCGCCATGGATTGTCTCATTCACATGACCCAGCACATCACAGGTGCCCAGAGGGCGGAGGTGGTTCGCCTCCTGACCACGATGGACAATCCTTCCCCCTCTTGATTTGTGGCCCTGGCAGCAGGAGAGGGGGCCAGCCCCTTGAGAAGCCAAGGAGATGGCAGCGGTAAACCGTCTTCAGTTGGTGAGCTCCGTCCTGCTGCAGCCTCGCAGTGCAGCCCTGGTTTGTCCTGAACTGGGACGGCCAGAACCTCCCAGTTCCCAGGATTTTCTGTCCTGCCACACTCGGCGGCCCATATTTTCCCCAGCCATCTGTGCCTACCGCATAATGTCCGAGGAAAGTGTTTGCATCACCCGGTTTAGAGTGCGTATGTTTAAAAGTAAGTGCATTTTCAATTATTGCCCAGGGTTATCTGTTAAATTAACGAATTCTCTTTCAAAAGACTCAGGACATGCTTTTTGAAATGGGTGTCGGAGAAAAAAAATGTCTACCAGCGAAGCCAACATGGGGTGGTTTGAGGAAACTCCCAAACAGGACTTCATTGCACTCCAATGCAACTGTCTAGACTATTCTGCTCACTCCCTGAAGCATTTGATGGATTGGTGGAAGGAGTGGACTTTGATATAGGGGCAAGACAATGAAAGTATGTGAAACATCAGATGCATAAAACACTTTAAACTGCCCCCCCCTTCTGCCCTCCGATCTTTTCTGAAGGAGACCTGGGACAGAGGAGGTGAAGCTGAAGGTAATTTACATTGTCCGGCAGGTCCTCTGTTGGGCTGGAGTTCTTGGCAGGCCCGCTAATCCTTCATGGGAGTGTGAGCGTCTCTGCCTCTGGCATTAATGCTTGAGTGCGTCTGGTCTGGGGTAGTGTTTCCCCCCCCCCCAGCAAGAAAATAGGGTTATAAACTCCTATTTCAGGGGAGGAAGAACCACATCACAAGATCTTGCTTTTTCTGGCTGGAGAGCTGTTAGTAAATCTGTCTTCTCAGGGAAGGGAGCCCCCCCCCCAGAACGTACTGCGGAGGAGGTGCAAATAGCTGTTGTTGTTGTTTTTTTTCAATAAGAGCAACTCTTTGACTTTTGATACCGACTTCAGCGTTTGTTTTACCTTTTGTGAGTTGGAGATTCATTAAACTAGTCTTGATTTTCTTAACAGTCCCGATTGCATTTCTTCATCCTCCACTCCACCCACCCCAGGAAAGATGCAAAATTGCTCTCTAGATCTGATTTGCTGGTGTGGATGCTGCCGCCGCCACTTAACCGTGTCTCTGTCAGTAACACATTTTTATTGTCGTTTGTTTCCCTACAAAGCTGACAGTAGTAAATTATGGGATGATCAGCACATCAAATCATCAGAACTGAAAGTACATTTTCAAGGGGAAACCTTTTCATAGACCATTTCCACTTCTGTCTGCGTTTTGCTTTTCTAGCCTCATCAGGCATTACAATGTCTGTAAGTAGTCTTATATTTGCTTTTTAAAAAAAATATTTGTGTGAAACAGTTCCTGAAGAACAGCCCATGAGGTCATCCGGTAGGAGTTACACCCTGACTGCTTTCTTCTAAATGATCTAAGTTACAAGCTGGTCCCCAGAGCCAGCTTTAGGCTAAGGCCACACAGGCACGGTCCTGGGGGAGCACCAGGGCTTAGGGGGCACCACCCCTACCCCTTCTTCCCAAAACAAAGGCGGCTCTAAAAATGCACATCTTCCCATTGGCGGGAGGTGGCGCCATCGGACAGCATGGCCTACGGGGACCCTCCTCTCCCCTTGGGTCAGCACCAGCGGCCTGTACATATCGGCCTCGTGGAGGGAGGGGGGCGCCTAAGTAAACCTTTACAAGTGCAAATGACCCCTAACCTTTTAAGAAGACAGCAGGCCTCTTCCCCACTTTCCCCCCCCCCAGGCAGGAAAAAAAAGCCAGCGTGCTATAGCTGTTCCTGATCTCTGGCAAGATACAAGAGAGGGCTACAGCAGAGCCATCCTGTAACTCTTGTTCTGGGTCAGGGGAGCTTTGGGGGGGGGGGCCTGGGGAAGGCTGTCGTGGGAACAGCATACTTGAAAGGCCCTGGGCTTTGCTGGAGAAAATGGTGCTGTCCCCATGGAACTCGGCTCCCCTTCGCTAAGATCTCCAGGGCGACCTGGAGGGTGAAGAGAGCCTTTGCACTTTCAGGGGTACATGCAATTTTCTTGAACAGTATTGTTTGGCCTCATTTCTTTCAAACTGAAGTAGGTGCAATTCTGAGACAACAGAAGAAATGATTAAAACCCTATTCACAGTAAAAAGGTGTTTGAAAATAAATATTAAATCAAAGTTAACCTGGTATTGATAGCTTACATGCTAAATCAGAAGGTCTTAACTGCAATGTGCAGCATCTCCTATTAGTGGTTATTTTTAAAACAAACAGTAAACAAAGATTAATGCATGATATATTTCTAAGTAAATGTTCAGGGCTGAGCTGCAAAAAAAAATAACATTTTTATGTCAGTTGTAGAAAAGCTTTCTGCCTAAAACTAGGCTTGGTCTTTCACAGAAAATGTTACGACTACAGTGAGTACATCCAAAGTGCTTCTTTTGAAATTGGAGTTTAAAAATGTCCAAAGTATCCTGGTGATTTTTAAAACAGTTTGCTGCAGTTTGAATAATTAAGTAAAAAAATATTACAGTGTTTTTCAAAAGTCAGTGCTGAGCATAAAAATCCCCTTTTTGTTCTCATAAAAATAAATTATAAATAAAATTTACAAACAGTAATACTGCTTAGCCCAAGAATCAACAAACTTCCTAATCCTAATCTCTAGTATTTTTTTTTTCAAAAAATCTATAGTAAGCTTGTTAATCCTAATAATCTATTCAAGGTAAAAAAAATTCTCATTTAGTATATCATTTATCCTGGAACCCAGGACTTTTTCTGCTCTTGCTATTAAAAACATCCTTTTTCCAGTCTGCAACTTTTACAGTCAAAGCTCGAAACAGGGTTAATGGTCCTGCGAGGGGAGGGGAGGCGGGCCTAGTGGGTATGTCTAGGACTAAAATTCCTCTCTCGTGCAGAACTTCCGAGGCCTGGAAAGAGGACTCTGGGAGGTAGACAATTCAGCCGGAGTCAGCTGTGAATCTGAGGAAAAGCTCCCGAAGAACCTCTGGAAAGCAGGACTGGACAGGCAGGGCAGCCATGAGCGACGGGGGAGGTGGGAGGGGAGGGGGGGCTCGGAACAATTTCACAGTACTTACCAGTAGGAAGGAAACAAATAAGAGCTTAATCAAGACACAAAGTCCCAAAAGTCCCCCCAAAAGATGTAGCCAAAAGAAGAGAGGCTTGGCTGATCTCAAGGCAAGGGGGCGAGGCGGGGGTCTCCTTCGGATAAGGAATTGGGCAAGGGGGCTTTGATGAGCTCAGAGAGCATCAGAAACCTAATGGACAACTAAGAGCACCTGGGGAGGAGGGTGTATATTTCATATTTCCTTTGGATAGAGTTCATTTAAATTTTCTAGCCCCTTTTGATTTTGCTCTTCTGAGAAAGGCTACTTTTCTGTTCTTGCTGCCCTCCCCCCTCCCAAAAAAATCCCACAATAAATTAAAATGCTATCTAGGTTCTGATGAAGAAGCACGCTGCGTGCTTCCTACCAGTCCAGTAGCGAAATCAGGTCTGTGTCGAAGCTGCCCACCCCCACCGGATTTCTTAAAAGATGGGCTTTTGTCTTAAGAGTGCAGGCTGCTTTCGTTTAGTACTCTCAAGACCATAAGGTGGTCTTGCAACCTTGGTTGATAGGCTGAAAATGGGGGAGGCCTGGTTTTCACACAGTCAGCGTGACCCCCACAAGACCTGGCACTCACTTGGGGGGGGTCTGCGAGCACGACAAGGTTGCCCAGTCCGGGTGTAATGGGGCTTTCAGAGCAGAGCGATGGGTTTGTTCCCTTGAGGGCTCCGGTACTGTGTGGGGGAGACGGCATCCAGCGTGGCGTAGGTTGTGTAGAGGCCCGTCACCTGCAAGTCTGCAAAGGAGTGGTGGCTGGCACTGGGGGCAGGGGGCAGGCTGGCAGGCACCAGGTCGCAGTCGGAGAGCGCCAGGGGGGAGTTGCTGAAGGCACCCAGGGATTCCAGGTTGAAGCCGTCCTCCTCCTTCTCCTCCCAGAGGTTCCCTTTCAAACAAAAGAGATTGTGATCGGATCTCTACTCAGACGAGACTGAACTGGACGATTTTAGCAGCGGGACGCATAAGGGCGTTTTCTGATTCCAGACTCCCTCTTTTCCTTGCCTGCTGTTGTGACTTTCCAGAGAAAAAGAGAAAAATGTGGCATTGTTTGTTTTTTTTTCCCCAGTAGACATTTAAGCAACTTTATTCTGGATCAGCCGCTTCAGTCGTCCTCTCGACTAGAGCCATTAAGCTCAGATCACCTGAGGATTTAAGCCTAGCCTCTCCCCCAGGTGTCCCTCACAAGGTGCAGGTAAAAGGAACTAAAGGGAACCATAATGTTACTGCCAGAATATTTCCCTCCATAATCACATTTTCTGGGCCAGCCCTTGAAAAGACCTTCAGGTAGAAAAGCTGGCCTGCTGGGAGCTGTCCACACCGCCACTGTTTCCTCCCACACAAGCAGCTTGAAAGTAGATTGAGGCAAGAATTCCTGCAGATGAGGACCCCCCCACCAAACTTGACCCAGCTGCCACATCAAAGAAAAACAAAAAAACAGCAACTCTAGTTCCAGCCTCTCCGACCTTCTCTCTTACCTTGGAGTGCAAAGTCCATAATGCTGGGATCGAGGGCGTCCACCTCAGTGCTCAGGTCAGTCATCACGTTGAGAAAATCGGGGCTGCGGCTCACCAGGTGGTGAGGGAGGGGGCTGTGGTGGACGCCAGGAAGGGCGTGAAGCGGGGGTGTCTGTGCAGGGGCCGGCGAGTCTGGGGCCAAGCACGCCTGGGGCTGGATCTGCCGGTGAAGCCGGACGGACTGCAAGGACGGCATCCTCATCGGCTGGGGCTGCACCTGCAGCAGGTGGCCCTGAGCAGCCGCTGCCCCGTGGCTGCGCATGGACACTTCGGCCTCCGCCAGCTTGCCGGGCCTCCTGCAGCCAGCAGGGCGGTCAGTGATCAGCTTGTCCAGTTCGTCTGCAGGGAGAAACGGCTGTCTCAGAGCAGAGGCAGGATCGTCGTAATTCCACCGAATCACAACACTTATTTGCATGGTGTGCTTTTTAAGTGCAGTGTGGCTAGTCCTCAAAGTGACCCTTTGAACGGCACTGAAACAATTGACTTATAGCCCTTTCCCAGACTTAACGACCGTGGCAGCATCCCCAGGGTCATGTGCTCAAAATTCAGACAACCGACTTATGATGGTTGCCGTGTCCCAGAATCAGCTAATCTCCTTTTGCGACCTTCTGGCAAGCAAAATCCACCAACTTCACTTAGCAACCATGTGACTAACTTAAGAACCAGCGATTCATTTAACAACTGTGGCAAAAAAGCTCATAAAATGAAGGAAAATTCACTTAACAAATGTCTCACTTAGCAACAGATAACATGAGCTCAGTTGTGGCCGCACTTCCACCGCTTTCAGAAGGCCAAGGAGGAGGGGAGGAGGATGAGAGGGCTGCCCGCCCAGGTTTCCTGCTTGTCGAACGACTTGCAGGATTTCAGCCTGAGGGAGGGAGAGGCCCCTGGCAGCCCCAGCGCTCACCTGGGTTTGCCATGCTCCTGCGAATGGCGGCGGGGTCTTTCCTCTTCCACTTCTGCATCTCCTCCTCCATCTTGTCTATCTTGGCGGGATTGAGGGCCCAGAGGCAGCCCTTGCGTGAGGAGCTGCTCGCCTTGTTCTCGACTTTCTCGAAGCACTTGTTCAGGGACAGGTTGTGCCGCACGGAGTTCTTCCAGCCATCGGGGGCTGTCTGTGAAGTGCAGGTGAGCCTTCACACTTGCCCCCAGACACACAAACCTTGCCTAGAGCCCCCAAGTCGTCCTGGCTGTGCTTTCCCACTTCTGTGACAAGGGCCAAAGCCTGCTCTGTGTGCCGCGACTCCAGAGGCCCCCGTCATCCTTCACCCTCGGACCTGAACATTAATGCGATGCTTGTCCGGCCTACGAGGGACTCGTTGGGAGATACCTGTCTGCCTTTCTGCAGGTGGCTCAAGTTGTCCTGTCTGCCTGGGAAAAGAGCCTGAAGGGTGGCCGGTCGTGAGAAAGCGAAGATTCCCACGACCCAAGACTCCGATGTTGGTCAGTGGAGACCTCTGTTCTTCAGTGGGGTATTTCGGCATCCAGTGCTCTCCTGCACACACACCCCTCGATCTGTCTGAACATGGGCCCACTGCGGGATCTCTGGGTCTTCCCCCGAGGGCTGGGGAGGGGCTGCAGAGGGCCCGCTCTCCTGCACCCCGTTGGGCTCAGCCTTCCTCACCTTGAAATAGGGGAAGTGCTCCTTCATGAAGCCGTAGATCTCGCTCACAGGGAGGCTGCCCGTCTTGCTGTTCTTCAGGGCCATGGCGATCAGGCAGCTGCCGGAGGGGGAGTGGGGGGTCAGCTGCCCTGCGGCGTTCCTGAACCCCAACTCTACCCTTTCCAATAAAGGGGGCTCCCCCCCCGAGTCAAGGGCTCTTGAGTTTTACTCACCTGTAGGAATAGATGGGCTTGGGGTACTGCTTGGTGTGCAGCTCCTGGGCTGCGTGAGGAGCCAGGCGGGGCTGGGGAAAGTGGGCGGGGGAGCCATAAGAGGTGCTGTAGATGGTCACTGGATTGCACTGTGGCCGAAGCGAGAAGGAGAAGACCGAGTCAGCCTCTCAGAGGAAAAGGCAAAGCGGGGGGGGGGAACGTGGGCTGTGGGGATGTGATCCCACCCTGCAAATGCTGTTTGGGACACTTCAGTGCATCCATTGGCAAGGGGCTCAACAGTCCCCACAAGTTATTTTGGTGTCCATTTAGTCCAAATGGAGGGGGGTCCTGCCTCTGGTAGCTGAGAAGTTTGCAACTGGGGGAGTGGGGGGGATCCACCTGCACCTGACCTGACCAGTCTGCAGTTGACCTGCTTTTCTTAATCAGGGAACAGGGAGCAGTTCGCACAGAATGGAAGTCTGTCTCTTTTTCAGCTGTGCCAGGAAAGGGAGAGACAGGCGAGCACCTTTGCCCTCTGGGTGTGGCCAGGAGACCCATCAGCCTTAGGCAGTGGAGAGTAGCCTAGCCCAAAGGCCGGGGGCCTCTGTGGTACAAGTGGCAACCAACACCTCAGCTCAACACCGGCTTCAAGAACGGCCTTCAGGTGCCCACACACTCTTTTGGCTGCATTCCCTTCTGAACCCCCATTTTTGACCCACGGTTTAAATGCTTCTCGTTGCATTGCCTGGCTGTTCTCACGTGCACAGCTAAACCCACGGCCACTCTGTGTTGTAAACATTAGCAAAGGACAGCAACTAAGCACTGGCAAGGTTCCTTAAAGTTGTGCTGGGACCCCAAAGTCGAGACTGTACCTGTTGTGTGCTGTGGGTGATGGTGAAGATCTGCTGGGTGTGGCAGGAGGGAGTGGGGAAGAGCGGGGCCAGCTGCAGCTGAAGGCTGGGGGATGACTGCCTCCCCACCACATATGGACTTATCTGGTGTGGAAGGGAGAGAAACAGGAGCATCAGTTGCGCAGGGCTCGAGCCCCCCTCCCCGGGGCCATTAACGAGGAAGGGAGCCTGTCTTACGTTGCTTTCGTGGGGCGAGACGGTGTTAACTCCTAGAATGTTTGGAGACGCGCTGGCTTGTACGTGAGGTGTCGCTCTTGGAGCCCCCGAGGTGTGCATGGCACCTGTCATTGAAAAGCAGTATATGATACGATTCCGGACTGTGGTGAATCCCCCTCCCAGCTCTCTGTGGAATCCACAAGCTTGCATAGGCTCTGATCATAACAACCGGGCTTATTAAACCCAAGTCAGTGCTAGTTTTACACAATTCATTTGTCCTTTGTGTTTTTAAAATGACCACTAGGTATCACAGCACTGAGGGGGTCAATGCAACGGAGGCCAAGAGTGAAAGGGTCACAGAGTTTTCTACCTGTCTGCTGCAGGACCACATTCTGGGAAGTGATGCCAAAATCCATCCTTCCGTTGGTCATCTGCTGCAGCCGAGGGACGTCAACGGAGGTCAGCCACGAGAGAGACTGCAAATCGCCGGGGAAGTCATCTTCGCTCAGACGGGAGGGGTCCGAGCCCAACAGTCTACGGAGGAATAACTTTGTGGGTTTTGTGGCTGTGTTGCCCTGGCCTGCTAGCCTGAAGGTAAGGCAGCCGCCATGGGCCGGCAGCCCCTGTTCTGGCTAGGTTTTATTCCAGTTGCCTTCCCGCTCCGTTGTACGGGACTCTCGTGCATAGGAAAGAAAGCAAAGACAAGAGGAAGGAGCAGTTTTCATATCACGCAGAGGAAGATAGTAGTTTGCACCTTCCTACTTTCTTAAAATTAGAGTGCTGGACACCAAACTCAGCTTGAGAATAAAGCTTTTGCAGATTGTTCCTAAAACTCTTGTTTCCTAAAGGGAAGGTGGTCGGTGTTTCTGTTCTACCAAAGTCATGTTAATGCAAGGTTCACATGGCGCTTGGAGCCTGCTAGAGTTGCACAACGCAGCAATGGCAGAAATAAATAATTTTAAAAAGTGAGAAGGATTTAAAATAAATCTAGAATATTACAATGCCTTCTTTGCAGTTTCCAAGGCTTTGAAATGCTCTCTTCAACTCTCTTAACTGCAAAGCAAAACTTTCCAATTCAAAACTTTTTGGCAGTTTCCCTCCCTTCTCGGAGGCCGAAGGGACTACAGGATCGATTGTTGTTACAGCAGCGGGCGCTTGGTATCCTGGCTAGTCCCGCCTGTCCTCCTGCCACCCTTCTCCGAAGCCTGTTTTCTTTTTAATGTCATGTATTGATGTGGCAATAACCAACATCGCCATGGTTACACTTCTACAGTTATTTTGCAGAGCCAGTCGAGTCCCATGCCTGAAAAAGAACATCAGGTGACCGGTCTCCCTGCCCGGCCATTGGCCCAACTGTAAGTAAACACCAGCATCAGATGGTTCAAAATCGGGGAGCAGCCCTTGTCATCTGCAGGAGTTGGTGGCCCTGCGCATTGTAAGCCGATAAGCCATTGTGTGGGGGAGGCTGTTGGCTGCCGGCACGTGGCGACCTTTTGTTTTTGGAGATTCTGGCTTAATTGTTTCCTTCTGCCCACCCCGCCTCCCTCCCCCTATTTACCAGTTCCCCATTAATCTGCCTGAATGACGGGAGACACTCCACCCGTGCCATCTGCTGCTCCCCAGCCCCACACAACAAGTGCAAGGGGTCAAGGGGGCGGGAAGGGTCAAAACCCACAGCAGTGGCCTCCTATCAGGGACCACATGCACCATGGGCCCCCGCCATCCGATGCGCTTCGGCACCTTCCTGGTTGGAGATGCTCTGGTGGAAGCTGATGGGCACCCGGCAACTTCACTCCCTGCTTATTTGCCTGGGCAGCAGCCTCAAGAGTTTGCCAGTGGTCACTGCACCCCTGGTGTGTGGCAGAGAGAGAGAGAGAGAGAGAGAGAGAGAGAGAGAGAGAGAGAGAGAGAGAGAGAGAGAGAGAGAGAGAGAGAATGAATCACAGCCTTCCCCCTAGCAAACGTCCTGGTATGTGAGGAACGGGGCACAGGTCCCTGTGCTGCGGATGGCCACCTCTTCCACAAAGTGGCACCCTTGCGGACTTAGCTGGGGGTGTGAAGATACAACTCTGGAAAACAAATACTCCTCATCTTTAAAAACATGCCCCGCTTTCTTCCTTTAAAGTGACCCTTAATTATTTTTCTTAATTCTTTGGAGCTACGTATAGGAAAGGATTGGGCTTCTTAATTTTGCCCTCTCCCCTCGAAAAAACAATCCCCTTTTGAATAGGGCTGTTCGTAAGAAGGCATCTTGACTAAGCTGGCTGATGGGCCCTTCCAGGGATGTTTTCTGGGAAGAGCCATGCCCACCTCTCCCGACGCTCATTTAAATCAATTGTGGCTCTGATCAGCAGGCTTTATCCGATTTCCCAGAAGAGCTATGGAAGTGGAATGAATGGGTTATTTCTTTCCCTGAGAGAGTTCTTGCTCCGATTATTTACCCCAAGAGATTTGGGGCCGTTTGGCTGCCTGTTTCCAGCCAATCCCTGCCTCTTCATTCTTCCTGCTAAGGGAGCCCTCCCGAGGGATTTGGGGGAGTCGGCAGAGAAATCTGCTTGCCAGGTCGGTCAGTCGAAACTGGCCAATACAGGGCACAGACTGATGACCCAGAGCTTGTTTCCAAATTTCCTTCGGAAGAGGGTTACCTTAGCTGTTCACACACACACGCCCTGCCTTTTGGAGAATGAGAGCACCCCATTGCAAGGAATGCATTTTTAAATCTAGAATGCTTTTGTTCTCCACATTCTGGACAGCCTTTTCCCTCTCTTTTCCTGATCAGTGGTAGATGAAGAAAAATGGTGCTCAGCTATTCATTGCTCAAGCACAACTTTGCCACTAACTTTTCCACGGGCAGGAAACGGTGCTGCCTTCTTGGCTGGGCAGAAGGACCATCCCAAGCCCCGGCCCCAACCAAGCCGTCCAGAGCAGCCTTCATGCTGAGCTGATCTGTGCTTGTTTGCTGCTTCTGAATGCCGGAGAAGGACAGGAGCCCCCATCAACGCACGCCAGCCAGCCAGCCAGCCAGCGTAGCCTCTCAGGCCACTGAGGGATTACAGTCCTTGGCTGAATGAAAGACTCGGTTCCGGTGGCATTTCCTTTTGAGGATCCCTCCATTTTCTCACCTTGCAGCCTACTCTTTATGGAGATTATCCCCATCAATTCTATTTGCTAGGACTCCCTGGAACAGAGGCTCCTTAATCCCTCGTGTTCCCACGTTTCTGATTTGTCACATTGTGGTCAAGAGAGATCTCAAACTGGAGAGGCTGCGGGCTGCCTAGGCCCTTTGGAGCAGATAGCCTGGCAAAATCAGACTTGCACACATACAAGTGCACCAGCATGGATCCTCAGCCTGTTTGTGCCTGTTTGATAACATGCAGGAGAAAAAAAATGCTCATGAGGAAGAATGCCAGGGCTGCTAAAATTTTAAGTGAGCAATTTAAGTGAGATTTAATGAAGAATCTGGCTGGACTCTACCTCTGGCCATAAGCTAGAGAAGAAGTATTTGCTTCCACCTCAATGGCACTTGGATTCAGAAGGATTCTAGCACCTGTCCATAGAAAGTTCCAGGACAAATGCAGAGTTACCAATTTTGCAGCATCCTGACTCAGTCTGGGATGGCCAAGAATTGATCTACTTCTCTCAAGCTTTTTGGTGTGTTGCTTTTCCGCTTCTGTTTTTTAACCCTGACTTTGAAATCTGGCTCCCTTCGTGTCTACCAGCCTCAAGTGAAACAGAAGCTTATTCTCAGCACAATTACCCCTCCCTTCCGTTAATTGGGGGCCATTCCTTCATGCCCCCCCCGCCCGCCCGCGGAGCACTCAAGACCTCGGGTTCCCGTCCTGCACTGTGGTGACAGGAAGAAAGTAAATTGACCTGATAGAATTTGACAGGTCTATTCTCTTCTTAAAAATCGGTCAGTCTGGAAGATTTTCTTTTACATAATCCAAAGTGGTTTCTCATGGAACAGAACAAATGCTACAGCGCACTTTGGAGATAACGGTCTGGATCTGTATACATTTTTTTGTCACTTTTTAAAGGGGTCATGCAATTCATGGGTGGAAAAATGACTGCGGTGATAAATTACAACATTATTTTTGAGGTAGGGTGAAGGAACAAGAAGAATTTGGGAAACGGGTCTATTTATAGGAATAAGCATTTTGTAATAACTAAAGTGACTTGTCAAAGGCTGCCTGAAACTCCATATAAACTAAGCTATAAGTGTCAATCTTTTTTTCTTAAGAAATAAGTTGGACTTAATTGGCCAAAGGACTGCGTATTTGATCTAAGCAGTCACTCACGTTCCTTATGCTAAGAATTAAAAATTCTTGCCCACATAATTTTCAAATGCCATTTATTCTCCCAAAAACTACCCTTATCAGATTTGGCAAGTACAGATAATTTACAACCTTCACTTAGCAGTAGGATTTCTTTACCAAAGTTAGGTTTGTTAAGGGCAGCCTGCATAAGTTCACCGTGGGAGATCCCGCAGTGTAATGGCGGATACTGGGGCCCGGACCACTTTTGGGGGGATCGGCTCTCTTGTGATGGGGATATTTCAGGGTCTTGAGTCTGCAGGACCTAAATCCCTCTTGTTCCCCTGACATCTACCGGAGCAACTTCAAAACTGGGCCATGCCGGAGTGAACAGTTAATTCTCTCCCCACTGCGTTGTGTCAGTGGGATGTGGTTGCTTTTGGGGGGGGGGGAGAAGGACTGCAAAATTTGGACAATGTTTCCCCCAGTCAAGTGTAGCTTCCTTATCCCTATTTGCAAGACAGAAAAGCTACAAACAGAAGAAAAATCAGAGGGTGAGGAATATCTTTAAAGCAACTCCAGAGACAAGCGGATCACACTGAACACTCCACAGGAAGGTTGCTGTCCTGAATTTGCACCTGGAGGGACCTCCAGCCACCCAGCAACAGCCAGTAGGGCAGAATGAGGCTTTTCGGGTATCCCGATCTTAAATCACAAATGGTTTTGTAAAGAACGGCCAGGTCAGATTGGCAGCTAGTGACTTTGGCCCAGGAAGACTTTTGCTGTCACTGACCACAAATTTGCCAAGAAAGAAAGTGACCGTTTGCCCCGCCTGTCGCTTCTAAGACAGCCTTCAAGGTGAAACCCAAGATTATGTTGCAGTAGTCTAAAAAGATGATGGCTCACAGTGACTCAGCACACCAGGTCTAAGCAGCACGAAGGGGATCCTGGCCAAAGTAGGCCCCTGACTCTCCAGAAGCACCCCTAAACCGCAATCTTGGATTTCCCAGAGAGTGGAGCTGTGTTCAAATCAAACCAGACATCCAGACTTGGATAACTTATCAGCAGCACCATCTCTTTCTCCCTGCTGAGTCGTTTCTAGGGAGCCGCAGAAGCACAGGACCTCCCCCTTCTGGGAGGGGGGGAGATCCAACCATCTCCCTCGACTGCCAAGCCTGGATTCCCAGAGGGAGAGCTGGCACGGCTCACCCGCCCCTCCCCTCCCCACCCCGCGATCCTGGCTGCCGATGGTGGTTTCCCACCGTTTGTCTGTTTGCCCCAAGTGGACTTGGATTCAGAAAGGGGGCGGGGGGCCTTTCATTCCAGGCAAGGCAGACAGAGGCTGGGGGCGCATTTCCTCCTTGGGATACAAAATAGACTTTCCGGGGAAATCAGAGTTTGGAACAAAAAAGTTGAGGGGAAGATAAGCGGCGGGGGGGGGGCTTCTGCTGCTGCGACCCGCAGCTAGGGCTTCGGAGCCTGGGGCGCAGCTCCGGCCTGGGCGTTGGGGCCGAGGCTTTGGGGGTCGCCTGCGCGGAGGCTGCGCTCAGTGAAAGCCTCCGCGAAGCCCCCAGGCGGCGGGGGGCGAGGGGTGGGGCGGGGGCGGCTCTGGCGGGGAGCGCTCACCTGTAGTCCGGCGGGGAGGGGCGGCGGGCCGGTCCCGGGTTCCCGACGAGGCCGGACATGGCAAAGGGGGGGTCGCTCTCCAGCATGGCCTGCCGGGGAGAGGCAGTCGGGTAGCTCTCCAGCATTTCAGCAGGGAGGCGGGGGGACTCCCGGCCGGGCCCCTCTCCAGCCCCCTCGGCCGAAAGCGGCGCCCCCGCCCTGCCCTGCCCTGCCCTGCCCGGGGCGAGAGGGGGCAGCGGGGCAGGTACCTCCGGGGCGAGCGGGGGCGGCTGAGCGGGGCGACCCTCCGGAGGCTCCTCTTCCTCCCTGCCTGCCCGCCTGCCTTGCTCCTCTCCCGGGACTGGCCCGGGCCCGGCGGACCTGCGGCTGCGGCTGTGGTTGCGCCCGGTCCGGCGCGGAGCAGCTCGGGGGAGGCAGCTGGCGGGGCGGCCGGCCGGCCGAGCAGCGTTTTTAAATTTCCCTCTCCGGAGCTGTCCAGCTGGAGCATGCGCGCCCGGGGGCCGAGGGGCGGGGGAGCGGCCGGGGGGAGAGGGGCGGGGGCGCCGGCCAGGAGCGACCCCTCCCCTGCCCGGAGTCGCGGCTTGCAAAGGCGGGCGGCGCAGCCCTCGACTCATTGAGGACTAGCCGCTTTCGAGGTCTGCGAGGCCGTGGCCAAGAGGCGGCGGCGGGGCCGGGCGAAGGCGGCTGCTCGCCCTCCCGCCTTTCTTCCCGCTCTCTCGCCCGCCGCAGACCGCGGGAAGGGGCCCGCCAGCCGCCGCCTCGCCCCTCTCGGCCCCGGCCGGGCCTTCCTCCGGAGGGCGCTCCCCGGCCGGCCGGAGGGGCTTTTTCTCGAGGGAGCACGAGACCCCCCCTGGCAAAGGCTGCTCTCCCCCCTTCCCTTCCCAACCGCCATTCCCAGTCTATGGCGCCCCGAGGGTTGGCTGGGGATGCTGGGGGCTGTAGTCCCGTGCGGTTGAAAAGTCCTGCTTAGGGAAAGCTGGCGGATCTCTGGTTCCTCCAGCCCCCTCCTCTGCGGGGCTCTCGGCCAGAAAGGACCCCTCGCCCTAGCTTTTCCTTGGGGGGGGGGTGCAGTGTGGCTGAGGGTTACTGCCCCCCTCCCCTTTATCAGCTGTATTGACAGTCTGCTCCTTGATCCGGAGTGAACTCCTGCTAACTCCCAATCTGGTCACCCAGTCTGTCTCTGCCACTGGGAGAAGCCGGAACGAAAGTGGGACCTCCCCAAATCTCTGGCCGTATCTGCTGAGCCCCCCCCCGTCCCCAATCTGCCGAGCCCGGAGGCTGTCAGGCTTGGCACCCTCTGCGCACTCCGAGGAGCCCAACGCAGACAAGCAGGAGAGGGCAGCCCTGCCTGGGCTGTGGGCTTCCTCTTTCGGAAGACCAGGAGGGGCTCTGGCTGTGGGGTCAGCCTTGCCCTGCCCTTACAGGTGAGATCAGCCCTCTGGAGTACCTCCTTCCAAGGGAGAGACCCATCTGAAACTTCTTGGTCCTTTCTCTGGACTTGCTCTGTAGGAAAGGATGAAAACTCATCAACACATCGTCTCTTACGATGGGACTCGTCCTGCTGCTGGGTGGAAAGGGCATAGGAGATGCAGCAGAGAAAGACTGAAAAGAAAGAAAATAAATACTGAACAAAAAAGATCAGGTCTCGGCATCACTTTGTACTGAACGCCAAAATGGGCTGCAGAAACAATGGCAGTTGTGAGACAACACAAAAACAAATATTCTTTAAGTAATACTGTGTTTAAGTTCACCTCTCCTTAGAATTTGAAATGTCCATTTCATCTACGTGAAAAACAATCGCATAGATATTCTTAAACCTGCTTTGTGTCACTTGTAGGCAGGTCTCTAAACTGAAATAGATACAGTTATTTCAGTTTTATAAAACCTAACTCCCCCCACCCACCCGCCAGTGTACGAAAACCTTGTGTCAGTAACACTTTTATCTGTGTAACAAATTGTAGTTAAAATCATTATGTGTGAAATTACCAATTAATCCCACGGGGATAAGGCCTTTAGTAGAAATCTACTCACTTGGGACTGTACAGATGGTGAATCAGAGTTTTACAATAGACTCAACTACTGATTAAATGCAGAGATGTAACGGACAAAAAAAGCCTTCCTCAAAATTTGGCTAGAGAATAAAATATCGGGTCCTAGTGCCCGACAAGTTCAGCATAGTACAGTCTTTAAAACTTTACTCTTTATTCTTTTTCTGCAGTGGATCCTCCATGCTGCAGGAAATCGTTTTTGCACCGATATTGTACAGCCTGAAAGAAAAATGCAGCAAAAGTCTCTCGAAAGCAGAATATAAGGCAGCAAGCAGAGGACTAATAAGAAACTCCCTGTGAAAACTGCTTTACTGCTCTTTTGGTGATACTTTGGTGTTGTAGAGTTTATTTCCCTTTTTTTTTTTTTTTACATTTTCAGCAAGAACATTTTGTTTAAATGATGCACATTGGCCGGTTGTTGGGGGCAGATATACCAACTTTCTGTCTGGCGTGACCTAAGACCTGGTTTGGTATTAGCAATTACGTCCTTTTGTGTATCAAATCCTTCCTGTTTCTAGATTTTATATGCTCTGGGCAGAATCATAAGACTCTTCTTTTGGCTGGAATTACCAAGACTGCCATAATTAAAAGATGTTAATTATTATTTTTTAGTGCTAAGCCGTGTTATTCTTTCTTACTTTAATAGGACAGATCCACCTGTGGCCTCAACATGCATTTGCGTTTAGTTTCAGTTTTGATATGACTTGGAAATCCCATTAAACCATTTTTTCTGGCCTTCTTGGCTAGAAACTGATAATTTCAAATAATGAGTAGAAAGCAGTCCAGTCCCCCCCCCCTTTTTTTCCTAGTCAAGAGCCGTGCTCCACAATTTAAAACCAACTTTTCCCAAAGCACTTTGTGGATTTGGGAAAGGTCAATTAACTTCTGTTTCCTCTGAGTAACCCCGGGAAGAGGTAACCCTGTGAAGAACAGGCAACAGTTGTGTCCAGTGACCTTCAGGGGCAGGAAGTTCACAAGTGCAACTAACAATGTCACCTCAAATTTGTTCCTGGGCTGGTGTATCGCAAGAGAAGGAGCAACGGTTGTGCTGCCTCTCCTGCTTCTGCAACACTCAGGTTCCTAGCTTCTCGTTGAGAGATTTTATTTACTATTTATTAAGCAAATGTATATGGGCGCCCAACTCGCAGGCAGGGGATTCCAGGTGGCTTGCAACATTAAAAATCCGCAAGGTTAAAAACCCACATTGCCCCTCCTCCCCATGGCAGCAGCAACGCAATCCAGTCAGCCACTCAGTGGACTTTATTTCCATGGGTGGCCCTCAGGCCCACGGACAAAACCACGTCTTCAGGGCCTTTCAGAAAAACAAGAAGATGGGGGGGGGACAATCGAGCCTCAGGGAAATGATGTTCAATAGAGAAGGGCCCTTTTTCGTGGTCCCACCAGATTTCATCCCTAGCAGATCCTTCCTACCCGATTAGGTGTGTGCCACTTAGTCACGAGACCCAAAGAAATGTGTGTATCTCGCATGTGTCTTTTTCCGTTTCTCTCCCTTCGTAGAATCCCTATTGTTGTGGTGAAACAATAGAAAATTCAAAAGCTGCACACCGAGATTGGTTTCCTGCACAAAGACTGAAGAAGGGGAGCTGTATTTTTTTAGGGGAAGCTAAGAGAGGGTGACCCTCGTGTTTATTTCTTGAAGTAACAGTCTCTGCTGCTGATTATTTTGTAAATCAATTTCTAAAGGAACCAGGTTTGGTTTCTGTTAAAATTACCATTGGACAGGGAAAAATGTAGTCGCCACATTCCTTAAATGATATCGCTGGATAGAGGTGGACACATACCCAAATTATGTTTCTCCAGCTTTGTCAGATTGATCTAGTTTATCCTAAATAGGATATTTTTTCCTTTTAACAGAAGAAATGAATTGAGGAATGGCTGCAGAGAAAGTGCAGTTAGAAGCAAGCCAGAGGGGAGGGGTTGGTTGATGTTATTCTTGGTTTTTTATTTGATTCACTTCCTCCTTCCGTCTTTAATAACCAAGTTCCTTAAGCTTGGATGACCCAGGTTTTGTTGCCAGAGCTGTGCCACTGAATGCTACTGACCCCAGCCAAGACCCCAGCCCCAGACAAAGATGGAGCTGTGCGAGGACCAGTCAGCCTCCATTATTGCCGAGAGAGCCTAGCAGGAAGAGACAGGCTTCATTATTTTTAATTGGGCTCTACAGTTAAATAATACACAATGGCCACCATCGTCTGGGAAGTTATATTGTGGAAGGCCATTGAATGCAGGGAAGCCGGGCTGGAGCCTAGCAGAATTCCCATTCCTTTCAATGGGTGAGGGCCGGGTGGACCTCCTGTCCAATCCAATGTTGGTTGTTTATTGATCCTGGTGCTGAAACGTAAGAGCAGCTCTGTGTGTGTGGGGGGGGAGGGTTGTTAGACATTCACCGTTAACAGAACTGCCTTGTGTTTCATAATCTGTCAGCAAAAACATATGCTATCCAAACACTGGCGGGTCATACTGATTAAATCCCATTTCTTTTTTATTCCTGCATTTCCTCTATTGCCTGCTCCAGGTCCGGATTAACCCTGTTTTGCCTGGAGTCCCCTAAACTAGAAGCTGATATCTGAAGTAGTCCAGACATGGATTGCCATTTTAGTCTTCCATTGCGGTGAGTCCAAAGCACCTCCTTCCTGGGAACAATCCTGTCCCTGAAAGTTGGGCAGTCTACAGAGCCCCCCTCCACCTCCCTATATTCTCCCCTAAAGGAAGGTTGAAGATCTCACAGCCCCAACGAGGCCTAAATTTTAGCCCATTCGTCTCTTTCCCCCAAGACGACCAAGGCAGCTGGGGATGAGGAGGACCTGTGTCGTTCAGACGTTAGCTGAACCTGGGTTTAAGTAAGCAGATTGAAGAGGGGGGATCGAGAGACCTACATCTGCTGTGCATTTGGTAGCAGTTGTGAAATTCCTTGAAGTTGGCAGGGCTCCGGCGCAACAGAAACCTCACCTAGATCCCTCTGTTTCATCAGCTTTAAAAAGTGGGGATTAAAAAAAAAGTCTTCCGTGTAGAGGTTATAAATTCAGCTTAATTTGTTTGCATGGAGGCCCTGTTAAAATTATGTCCAAAAGTGAGTGCACCACTCTGCAGCGCTAGAGTACAAGCTCAGCACGTCTTCTCCAAGCCTCTCCCAAATGCGGAGGGTGTTTAGGATTGCAATGTTAAAACCCCGCATAATTCATGGCACTATAAAATGCAGTGCCATGTTTTATTGCAAACCAGAGAGCATGAAATTATAGCTGTAATGCAATGTTCTGTTCCCTGGAGATGCGGGCAGGGAGAAGACACACCTGTCACTTTGCTGGGAGGCTTGGCTTCTCTGAGGAAGAAGTTCAGGATACCTGGTGCCAGCTCTCAGGTGTTGAATTTTTGAAGCTCCCTCAAGAAAAGTGAAAGGGAGGGGAAAAATAAAATGAAAAGTTGGACAGGGACCAGAAAGTAAGCGGTGGTATCTGATATAAATGGGCAGAGAAGAGAAATCAGTGTTGGGTACCTTCTATTCTTGCAAATGCAGGATTGGAAAACAAGCCTTTGATGGGATTGTCTTCAAAACACCTAACCTCTTTCTTACAACTCATTTAATATCTATGATTTGTAGACACTTAAATTGTTCAGTCAAGGTGGCATCACTAATCAAAAGAGTATGATTAAAAACAAGCATATATATATATATATCTGCTTGAAACCCTAACAATGCAGTAAAACCCGACTTATTGCTTGTAATATTTAGAATTAATGAATGCAGGACTGAATAATTGATGACTGTCTTAGCACAAGCAAAAATTCAATTAAATTTGAACAAGAAACACCAAGGCACTTGGCAAAAAAATAATATCCTCTTTCCATTTTTTCCTACTGCAAATAATACCATTCACTTCTGCTCCTTTAGGGCTGCTGGCAAAGAAACAGGTGTGTAAAACAGGAGCAAAACAGGTATTATGTTGCTTAAAAGTCATTCATCCCATCAGAGAAACCCAGACACCTGGGAGAGCTCTCCGCTTGGATGTCAGCTAGCAGGAATAACAGCCCATTTGCCAGGGGAAGGAAGGGGGGAGTTGATTTTTCTTCTCCTTCGGGGGAGAGCCGAAGGGGATTTGCGGGTTACGTTTAGCCATAATGTGATTTTAGCTTAGTGTTTTTTAAAAGTCAGGGCCAACCAAAAGGAGAATGACAGATAGGCGAATGTGCTATGAATTAATAAGTAATAGTAACAATTTCCAACGAAGCAAATCAAGGAGAGAAGCAACCTAAAACCAAGGAGAAATTTCCTGCTTTGCCTCCAGAAGTTGTGGGTGCTCCATTACTGGAGGTTTTAAGAAGAGCCTGGACAGAATGGGAAAGGGCAGGAGTATCCAACCTTGGCAATTTTAAGAGCTGTGGACCAACTCTCAAGAATTCCCCAGCCAGCATTCTGGGAATTGAAGTCCACAGATCTTAAAAGTTCTCAAGGTTGGACACCCCTGGTCTCAAGTAGGGTCTCCTGCTTGAGCAGGGGGTTGGACTAGAAGACCTCCAAGGTCCCTTCCAATCCTGCTATTCTGTTAAATGCCAGATGCCTTTCCCTTATTCCTGGACATCAGCAGCTTACCGCCATCTACCTGGCTGGAGTAAGCCATGTTTTGGGGTGGGAATCATAAACACAGTTCTACATCACCTAAGTAGACATTTTTACAACCAGGAGGTGACTGACCTGCAGTTACTAGGTATTCCTTATTCGGTCTCTCTCTAGCGTGAGGCATCTCTGAATTATTAAGGATATTTAACATAAATATATAGTCGTAACATCAGCCTGGTTCTTGTTAGTTTTAATTTTTAAGCACTGCCATCAGTCTCGGGCTAAACTCGTGAAAAGAGATCCTGTAACTCTTTGCTTACCTGCTGCTATGCATTATTAAGTGTAGAGGTTACCCTTACACTGACTTCCATACACTCCTGAAATGGGACTTGTCTGTGGAAGGGACCCCCAGGGGCCTAACCAGGCGAGCAGAAGGAGCTGCGGGAAAGCAGGGAATTTTCAAATGCCTTCTCTCATCCCAGCTTTGTTTTTGTCCTCAGTAATTAGTCTGTCAAGAAATTGCAGCAATCAAAGATCAGGCAGTGCCTGCTGCAACCTAATCTGCAGGAAGGTCCAGTGTCTAATTCTTACCAGGAGAATGAGCCAATACCAGCATCCCGGACCCAGAGGCTCAGCCGCCGACACGCAACATGAATTATTAAGCGTGCTTCACTGGGACGGAAAAGTCTTTTTGCAGAGCTCCTGGCATCGTGTTCTGCTACGCTGGATCCTAAACAAGCCAGCTCGCCTGTCCTGGATGGCTTAATCGGAACCGTCAGCATTCAGGGTCAGCATTCAGGATGGCGACCCAGGTAACGGTCAGGGCGGCGAAGGAGGAGGAGAGGTCATGGGAATAAAAAGCCTGGGGGAGTCTGAGAGAAGCTTCCACAAATTTGAATAAGAAAGATGCTCCCAGACCTCCTCTGACGTTGGGGAGCAATCTGGGTGCCTTGGAGTTTCCATGGTTAAAAAATCCTGAGCTGTTGGGTAGGACAGAGCCCGAGATTCAGGCCTCAGGATGCCCCCCTTTTGCATTAATTGCATGAATGGGGGGCAAGGCGCTTCCGAGTCCATTCAGGCTCACGAAGTAAAACGTAGATGCTGTGTTCCATGCGTAGCGGTACAGAGAGACTTTGAAGAGCTAACATACCAGAGAGCAAAAGGTGTCTCTACTCTTTCGTAAAACCAAGAACCAAAACTTTCATTTAAAACTTTCATTTAAATAAGCCAACAATGTAGAACCAAATCTGTCCCCCGGAACAGGGTGTATCTTGGCGGCTGGAGGCAAGAACTGTCACCCAAAAGGTGCACCAAGTCATCCCACCTCAGGCTGTGAGCTGCCGCTGTGGGACACATCCATAAAAGAGGAAATTACTCCTAGTTTCACAGGACTGAATGAGAAAAACAATCTGGAAAACCAGTTAGGGCCAGTGGCTACCTTCGCTTCCTCCAACAAAAAGGCAGGCAGACAAGGTGTTGATCCTTCGAGTCAGAGCCCATCCCTGAGCACAACAAAACGGCACCCTAGAGCATCGTGGGAAATTACAACGGATCAGGGATCCGCAAATTCTTGGGGGGCACCAGAAGAGAGAGGGGCTGGACCGGTTCCTGAGGGGACCAGCTCTATCCAGGCCAAGCAACCTTTGCCTGGGTGACCAATGTGGTTGAGGTGGATCTGTTTCTAGCCCCTTAAAGACCTCATTGTGTTACTCTAGCACCATGTTTTTCAAATGTGGCAACTTTAAGATGTGTGGACTTCAACTCTCAGAATTGAAGTCCTCCCATCAAAGTTGCTAAGTTTGAAAAGGGGGGAGAAGGAGGGAAGATTGGAAGGAGGAAGCATTCTAGACTTCAGTTCAACAGATGGATCCGTCATTGTCAAGGGTGTTTTTTAACACAACACTTCTTTAAAAAAAATTGTCCTCGTATGTGCAAAGCCCTAGAGCTGTATTCTGGACAGGAGACGGCAACAGGGAATGACTTTGCTGCAAGTGGCTCTTTTTCTCTCTCCCACCCCAACGGACGGTTGTCCTCAAAGGGAAAAGAATTTGTTGTCCCGTGGCTTTTTTGTGTGCCAACAATATCTGGCGGAGGACAAAGCATAGTTGCAGACCAGTCCTTGATTATAATGAAATGTTTATATGGAAAAGACAGCTTTGCTTTCAACCAGGCAAAAGGAGCGTTAGTTCGGGTCCTTGTGAATTAAGTAGGTTTGGATGCTGGCCTGAACGTTGCGCTCTGTTTAAATGGGTGAAGCCACTGCGATTCTGATTACCAAACAGGATTTGTAATTATGCTGAACTGGAAGTCAGAGATGACACGGCAGTAAATTTAAAGAAGGGTCAGGTCATTTATTTGCTGTTTCATTTTTCTTTCCAATGAGGCTGTTATAAAAATCTAATTTCCCAACGCAGTCAGCTGTGAAGCAGCCCAGAACAGAATCTGTTCATTCGTTTATTTATTTGTTAAGCAAGGCAGGGCCAGAGGGGGGGGAAGCTTGTTAGGGGAAGCAGGGTTTAAAATTGAAGCGGTGGGTCTCTCTGCGGCCTGGACAATGTTCGCAAAAATAAAGTTCCTGCCGGGCCGTAGAACTCTTGCTTCAGAGCTGGGGGAGGAAAAAGGCTTTACCTGTTTCATTTCCAGGGCTTTGGCTGCTACTGAAAGCACACGGGAGGGGGACGATGTGGGGAACCACATGGGCGACATTTTGGTGAGAGAGAAGGTGGAAACTCAGTCTCCTCAGAGTTGGGATAACAGGAGGCTGCCGAGTTGGGAAGCAGATTGAGAGATTAATCAGCAAATTCATGTTGAAATAAATGAGTCGGCTAGAGGCCCTCTCACACTTCATGAGTGTTCATTGCCCAAGACTAGAACAGTTGACTTTCTAACATTCTCTCTTTTCCCTCCATGAAAAAGCCTCGTTTGGGGCCCCCAATGCTGAGCTGGGCGGCTGGTATGGGATCCCCCCCCCCGCCAAGACCACCTTCTGCAGAAAAGCTTCAGAGCCGCCTGACGCAGCTTTGCTGCTGCTGCTGAGGGCCCCTCCCTTGAATTAGGCCTTGGGAATGACCAGCGTTGCCTTCCTGCTGCTGCTGCTGCTGCTGTGGGATCCCAAACTTCCTTTGAGCAATTGCTGCTTTCCCTCAACCCAAAGTGAAACAGCTGCACCACTCACCATTGGTGCAAGCCATAAAAGGGGCCTTTGCACCACCACCACCACCACCACCACCACCACCACCACCACCGGCTGCCTGGATGAGGGAGGGCTGCTGGTAGTTTGTGCCCCAGGATGGAGGGGCTGCTGGTGGTGAGTGCTCTCCAGGCCCCTCTGGGGCAGCTTCAGGAGGGAACGGTTTGCTCCTCCCTCTCTGAACCCTTCGGCTTTCGTAGGGTTAAAAAATACGGGGATCCCTGTGAACCTCTACGGGGGAAACAAGGGGAGAAGAGTGGGAATTGCTGCAGTTGTGGAGTCTGGATGCTCTTTTATGCTCTGCTAAGTGAACTTGGGGTGCAGTGAAATGCCGAAGAAGGCACAGGAGAGACCTGGAATGGGGGAAACCGCCCGGCTGGCCTCAGGGGCTTTGCTGCTGTTTTCACTGGTTCTGCAGACCTAGACGGTCGCGTTCCTCGGGAGTAAGTGAAGCCGGAAGGTTAGCAACAGGCCCGGCTCCCCTCTTGGGTGGATGGCTTTTTTTCCCACACACGCAGCTTGCCTGATGCTTAAAGATACAAGGCTGTGTGAAAATATAATTTCTGAAGGGAGGCACCCATTCCTGGTGTTTGCTGTTTGCTTACTTATTCTGAAGGATTCTCTCCTGATTTTTCAGCTATTCGGGCTTGCAAAATGATACGCAATTAAATTAAGGCCATGTTGCAACAAAGTGTTAAAAGATCTGTAGACTTAGAAAACAAACCAGAGGCACTTTGTGGCAAGCAACAGCACAATTGTAGCAGTCCTAAATAAGCAGACCCTTGTTGTTATTTCAGTTTTGAGGCTACCCAGCTGCCCGGTGACTCTGGGCAGATTACAACAGCCCTCTCACGCCAGGCTATTGGAAAGAGGTTGCCAGAGGTTTTTCCCTCTTAGAAGTCAAAGACCTCTGTCAACACCAGAAAGAGAGGCTCTTAGGGGGTGGTGAGGGAGCTTGGCTTTCTCTTCCGGTCTGGGAATAAGCAGCTCATAAACCAATTAGTAAAACCATCTCACAAAGTAACTTATATCGGAGGCAGATAAAGCATAATTATAGTCTATTTAAAAGTTATCAAAAGAGAGGGATTTGTCTATCCAATTGAAGGATGTTCTAGGCACCACTCTAGAGGTCCCGCCCAACCCCTCCAATCCTCTCCCTAAATAGCAAAGTGTGTGTGTGGGGGGGGGACATGTTAAAATTGATTGTCATAAATTGAATCACTGCAGTGTTTGCTTCCTGGAGTGTCTGAAGGGAGAAGTATTTCAGTTTGGATAAGAGGATGCAAATAGGCCTGTTTTGCTAGGGTGGTGGAGTTGTTTATTGGCCTCTGGAAGGGAATTGGAAGTGCTGTTCCCTGGCTTGGATCATTAATCTCCTGAAATGTTTTGACAAGGGGAGCCGGAAAAAGGCCGAGCGTTTTAAAAGGGGGGGGGGAGAAAAGGACAACTCTGTCCATTCACCCCTCCTCTGCCAGAAACCGTGGCTGTGACAAGGAATGGGGCTCTTCCATCCACCCTGCTTTTCCCAGGATAAAAACGGGTGAAAAGCCGGCTCTGTTTGCTTCCCCTTTGGGCCATTCTGATGCCCTCAGCAGCCGCCTTGGGCTCTGTTCTCAGCCCTCCTCCTCCAACGTCTGAACCTTGCCTTCCCCTCCAGCCCAGGGCTCCGCACTGGGGGTCAGCAGTCCACCAGTTTGGGCCCCTCGTCTTGACCCAGGGCTGGCGGCTTCCTTCTTCCCGTCTTTTAAGCGATGCTGTTGGCCTGCCTCCTAGACCGGGAGGACCCCCAAAGAGTGGGGTCTGGGGGCTGGAGCTGTCCTCCGGCAGGTGGGACACAGGAGGCCCTGGTCTCCAGGTCAGAGCTGGCCTGGCGGAGCCGCCGTGGTCCTGTCCAGCAGGAGGAAGGGCCAGGAACAGATCTCCATTGTTGCTGTCATCAACCTGAAGTGCGTCAAAGGAGGCAGGGGAGCCCTGACCGTTGGCCGCCCCATTTATCCGGGCTGTTGTGTCCTGCCCGGCCCTGCCCCTCCCCGCCGTTTCTCAGATTAGCTCGGGACGAACGCGCTCTAAAAGGCTCCTCGGCCGCCGGGCTTTTGTGCCCAGAGTGCCCAGTGTGAAATCTGCAGTGACGTTAAATGTTTTCTAATGAATAATTATTGAAAGGAAATGGAGGGATATCGGTGTAAAGGATTGTAGCGTATTAAAACGTTTTATGTGATGGGTACAAAAATGTTGTCCTTCACAAGCACTTTGGGAAAAAGGCTTTCTTTTCCTTTCCTTGTGAAGGGTTTTGATTCTCAGGGGATTATCCCTAAGCTCTTTCTGGCCCGTCTCCTGAGGGCGGTGAAGAGGGCCAGCGGAGGGTTTGCGAGGTGGCACCCGTGAAGCCCCTCGGAGGGTTAGGAGTTTGGGGGGTTTCAGAAATGTTTGAACAACGGAGGGCCTTTCCCCCCCCCACTTCTGCTTTTGATTTGGGAGGCTGAGGTGCAGCTCCCCTTTGACCCTTCCATTTTCCAGGGATTGTCCATGGCTCTTTTGACTAAGGCTGGGCCAAAATTAGAGACAAGGCACTGTCGAAATTGCCCACCGCCCAGCCTCAAAATCTGCATTTTCTGTGGCTTCAGAAAGAAACAAGGCTAAATAAAGTCTGGAAAAAGTTCTGTGGGATGCAAACACATTTAAGATTTTCTTGTTTCTAGGATTTGGTGGTAATGTTCTTTTCCCAAGCAGCAAAGCAAATTATCAAATGCACATTAGCCTTTGGAGTAAAAACTTTTATTAATATGAAGTTTAAAACCCTAATTAAAAACCCCATAGATGAATGCAGCATCACTCGGCCAGATAGATTCTTGATTCAGATAAGAATAGTGCATGCTAGTTCATAGGCATTTTTTTTTCTTTCTTGCCATTTTGATGTGGTGAAATGATTCTAGAACTCACACTTTTGCAAAATCCACCCCGCTTTGAGGAAAGGCAAATGAAATGGGGAAGGGAAGGTTTTGCGCTTGCCTTGAGAGCAAAATGAAGCCGAGGGAAGAAAATGCAGAGGAAACTTGGGAGACGGGCATGCAATGTAGGTTACTTCCAGGCTGCGGGTGGATTTCGCCAGAGGCCTGAGTGACGGAGCAAATCCTGGGCAGATGGTCTTGGACCCTCTGATGTAATGTTTACAGCGGATGAAATTAACTGCAGCGCCAGAAGTTGAATGGCTAGGAGAGTCAAAGGCGGGAGGAGGAGCCCCTTCCCCAAATTGCTACAGTAAAAACTCCTTTGTAGGTTCACATATTTTGATGAATATATTCATGCCATAATTCATATGAATAACATTTAAAATATTCGTAAGCCATAATGTGGTTTGTTTGCTGTGGACTTAGTTCAAATTCTGCCATTGTGGTTTATTCAGACCATGGACTAGTTATGGACCTCCTTCGTTTCACAACTGTTTTTCTTTCCTCTCCTTGAGGTTCTCTTTGTGTGTGAACTTTTTAGCTGTCTCCAATATGTGGGATATTGTAGCGTTATACACTCATTTGAACTGGCCAGGCTGGAACAGATGCCAAAGTGGTAGCAAAGGATTGGCGTTGTCTTTCTTGGTTGTCTAAATGTTTGTAGCTGAGGGGGATCCCTAACGCAACCCGGATTGTGTAGAATCTTTCCCAGCCTGTTGTTGTGTGAAGTTCCAGAAACAGCCTAAATGAACAAACCGTCTGATTCTGAAGACAGCAGCGTTGATGTTCTTTGATGGGGCCTCTTGGCTTCCTCCCCACTAGAAAGAGCAGAAATGTGGATGCTTCATGTGAGAAGGAGCTTAGGGTGACCTCTTGTGGAGAAAAGGGAATTCTAGTTTGTGGAGACGGCACTAGCAAGGCGCATTTCTCCTTCGCAGCATCCTTGCAACAGGTCTATCATTGGCTGCGCCTCTCCAGGCTGAAGGAAATGAGCTGCAAGACACACTGGGCGTGTTTGTCCTCACCTGTCAGACGGTTGTGGGCTTCCTTCTCTCCATGATCAGCCTCAAACTCTCTGCTTTCTAAAGGTTTTCTCTGTGCTGCCACCAAATGATGGTAGACCCCTAAGATCGACCCAGCTCTCCTGCCTCCCCAGCACTCGATGTTAGGAAAACACACCTGTGCTTAGACATCTGCCTGTGACCTGCAATTTCTTTCATATTAAATGGATGAACGAGAGGACACGGTTTGTTCTGCAGTCATGCAGCATAAGCTCTTTCGGATAAAGCCCTGAGCCCTGTGCCAGGACTGGGTGTCTTTACTATATTCTTGGGGTTAGGCTAACATTTCCCAACCCTGGCAATTTTAAGATGGGTGGGCTTCAAGCCCCACCTGCTTCTGGGGAATGCAAGGTTGAGAAAGGCTGTGTCTGACTGCAGGGCCCAGTGATAAAATACTGTTGGATGCCCTGCTTTGCTCTTGAATTAGCTGCTTTTGGGATTTTCACCCACTGAAATGTTCCCCAAGATGCAGCAGAGCATAATTCAAGCAGAGCTTTCAAACTTCAGTTGATGTCCTTAGTAAGGGCTGCAAAACATCCAGGCCCAACCACTTCCTGTGTGAGGATAAGACGACTTGTAGACACACCAGTCTGTTACAGTAGGAGGAACCAGCTGAGTGATCCATGGTTGCTACCAGACACCTTCTGACTTGGGATGGCAGGATGAATCTAAGACTGTTAGGTACCAAAATTGATGGCCCTGTAAGGAGAAACTCTCCTTCCTTCCTTCCTTCCTTCCTTCCTTCCTTCCTTCCTTCCTTCCTTCCTTCCTTCCTTCCTTCCTTCCTTCCTTCCTTCCTCTCCTCTCCTCTCCTCTCCTCTCTCTCTGTCAAAGATCTCTTTTCTGAGATGTTACATCAGAGAACGATTCAGACAGTTTCTCTCTCTCTCTCTCTGGTTGGGTGAGGACAGGGGTCATTTGAACAATGCTGCGTTGCGTGGCCAAGAGGTTTTTTGGTTTTTTTTTTTTTTTTTGGGGCTTGAGCTCCTTCCTCCCTGCCAACGAGATGGAAGCGAGATGCTGGCTACAGCGGGAAGCGAGGTGAAGTGAGAACGGAGTGTTCCGAGGGGGTTCAGGGCAAGGAGGAGAACTTTGTCAAGCGGAAAGAGAGGAACCTCAGGAGGGAGAGTTCAGGTTGAGGAACTCAAATCCCCAGGCAGCTTATTCATTCTCTCTCTCTCTCTCTCTCTTTCTCTCTCTGGCGTCAGGAAAGGTAAGGCATCATTGTTATTATTGATGTGGTGGTGGTGGTGGTGGTGGTGGTGGTACTTGTTAAAAGGGGTCATCTGCAATTTCACAGCCTAAGACTGGTAGGAGCGTGAAAATTTAAGGACCTAGGCATTACTAAGGCAACCCCTGAGATTTTGTTTGTAAAACTAGGGTGTTCCAGTCCAATAAATTCTGAGTTTCCAAACATTGAGGGAGTTCAGTAAGTATTGCTGCAGTCATGATTTGGTATAGCAATGGATGTCTTTTTTCATGAGGGTGCAACTGTGATCGCTGTAGTTTCCCCAGTAGTTTTTCCTCAACCCTAACATCGCTCAATATAGCAACATCAATGAACCTGGATTTTTTTTCCTTTCCGTGGCTGTGATCCCAGGCATATTATGGCCAATGGGATGTTAAGCCAGACCTCCTAAGATTCCCTGGAATGGGAAGCAAGATTTCATTTTAACTTGCACCTTTTCCACGGTAAGCATTTTCTCTGCCGGTCAAGGGAAGAAAGCAGCCATTAATTCCTAAGAAGAAAATATTTAAAAGGCTCAAATCTGTCACAGCGGTAGACCCAGATATCTTAACTGGCTAACGTAGTTATTCACTGGAATTGCAGAGGGGCTCACCGCCCCGTGATGGATGTTCACTCTGTGCATGCATATAGGTTTTCCATTGACTTTTCCTGATATAAAAGCTGGGGAGACGCCTGCAGCTTATTTTATTCCCACGTCCTACAGTGTTTGGCCAAGCAGAGGGGGTCTCCTTTTTCATTGTCTCCCACCACAAAAGAGACGTGGGAAAGATAGGATGGTGGCCGGGTTTTCCCTAGACTGGAAGGTCCAGTTGACTCTGAGCCCCTCCCAGAGGAAAGTGGGACGAGGTGGGGGGAGGGCTGCAAAGTTCCAGTGGGAAATGTGGAGTCTGGGTCTCTTAAGGGGGGCCTTTTGCATCTCCGTCTATGGGCTTAAGTCATTCTGGTCCGTCAGGGAAAAACTGCAGCTCAGCCAGAAGCGGCTCTCTTGACCAGGCCTGAAAAGGTGCCCAAACCTCACCATTTCAGAACAAGCGTCCTCAAAACTTTGGCAAGTTACAGGCTGGGAGAATGATGGGAAATATTCTCACGATTCGTAACAGTCCTCCAGGCAGGGCCAATCCTGCCATAATAGGTTTAAGTCCCAGCCGGCAAAACTCACAAAGGCTTCCTTTGTGAAATCAGCAGAGGCGAAGCACAAGACCTGAAACCTGGCAGGTATGGAGGGGGGGGGGGAGAAGGTGCCGCCATCTCAAACAGGGAGAAAAGGTGCCAGGAGGACAACTGTTAAGAGGATTTTTCCAGCCTTTTGGAGCCTCCTCCATTTGTACATCATGCTTAACCACCTCCCCCTCCTTCTGCTCCTCCGGCTCCTGCTCCTCCTCCCCCCCCCAGACATTCCAGAATTAAATAATAGCAAAGCTTCTTCTGCAAGGAAAACTTTGACCTTGCAAGTCGAAATCAGTATCTGGGTTGCGGGCTTCGGTAACTTGGTATCACGAAAGAGAGAGCCAGGATCTGATCTTTATCTACTCTGAGCTGCAGCAAAGGAGAGCGAAGAGCTGCTTCCGCCTCAGACAGGGCAAGTAGCCAGGCCAGGCTTCGGCCAATGTCCAGCTGCAGGATAGCGGTGGGGCTGGGTCTCCTGAGAGGGTCCAGATACCAGCTCTTGGGCTTCAGGTAGAAGGGATGGCAGCGTAATTCTAGGACTGCAGCTATAGCATTTTGTATCCAGCATGCGTGAAAATATTGCAACAGAATTCCTTGGCTTCAGGAAAAGAAAAAGGCCCAGCTCAATGTATCCACAGAGAGAATGTCATAGATTTTTGTTCCCTTGTTTTTGTGAAGTTACTCAATGTGCCAACTTGGCTACATTTATTAGAATAAATCACTCTCCAATTTTGTAGCCTGGGAAACTTTAAAAGGCATTCCTGTGTGTAGCTTGCCAAGATTTCTGGTTTCTGGTTATCTGAAAAGAAAAAGACAGCCTCCCCATCACTTACACGAATGTTCCCAGGACCAGAAGGAAAGTCTGCTGATTTATCCCCCTAACGAGGTTGTTTCCTTGTGGACTTGCAGAAGGAGGCAGTGTGGAAGAAGCCCCACCAGCTGAACATGGAGGGGGCTCTGATCGCCCGGGACAGGGTCGGCGTTCAGGATTTTGTTCTCCTCGACTCTCACATGAGTGAATCGGCTTTCCTGGACAACCTGTGCAAACGATACCGGGAAAACCTCATCTATGTAATTAAACGCGAAGCTGCCAGTCCGTTTGGAACAGGGCTGCTGGGAAAGAGGGTGCTAAAATAATGTTAGACCAGACGTGTTGAACTGGATCAAATGGGCTGCTACCTTTTGAAGGTTCAGGGGAGAATTTAGAGCCAGAACACAAGTCTGCAAGGGATGTGAGAAAATGGGAGGCTGTGGCCCTCTCCTTGATGGACAGCTGGTGCGCCCAACCAGCGACATCTCTGTCTTTCCCTCTGGCCCTGGGGAAGGAAGTGGGGAGGGTGACTCTTGTTCCCAGAGCAGTGAGTTAGTCTGCCCTCCGTTCCTGGCTGCTGCCCATCCTCTCTCAGTGTCGCCCATCTGAGGGTGGCCTCCCTCCTCCTGAGGACGGAGCTGGTCCTGAAAGGGCCTCTCTCTCTGGGGCACTCACATCCTCCAGATATGTTCTCAGGAGTGAGGAGCACCTAATATGGGTTGACATTGGATTGGGGAGGGCACCATCCACTTTGTCCTGAAGATCTCGCAGGCCGTGGGGATTGCCAGCCTGAATTCCTCTTGCTTTTCCCTCCTAGACCTACATCGGCACTCTTCTCGTGTCTGTGAATCCCTACAAAGAGTTGGACATCTATACAATGAAGCAGATGGAACAATACAAAGGGGTCAACTTCTTTGAGCTGCCACCACACATGTGAGCAAAGATGCCGAGCCATTTCCTGCTCTGTGGCCTTCTTTGTGCCCAGATGGGATCCTCGTCTCATATTGATCCATCCATCCAAACTTTAGGGGAATTAAAATACAAAAAGACAGCCCCCAAATAATTATACACGGGAGGTAGTCCCGGTACTGGCTGGGGAGCTGGAAAATACCCAGTTGTGTTACTCTTACCCTCTGGGTAGGAGGTCCTCACTCTGTCCCTCTTGCATCTTCTCCAGCTACGCCATCGCTGACAACACCTACCGTCTCATGTGCAGCGAGTACAACGACCACTTCATCTTGATCTCTGGAGAAAGTGGAGCCGGGAAGACGGAAGCCTCCAAGAAGATCCTCCAGTTCTTCGCCATGACCTGCCCTACCACAGAGCAGCTGCAGGTTGTCCGGGATCGCCTGCTCCTCTCCAATCCTGTCCTGGAGGTACCAGAGGACCAGGGTGGTTCTCAGAGCTGGCGTTGTGGGGGTCTCCCCAAATCCCATGGAAGCGGTGGGTGAAAACGAGGGGGCCTCTAGCACGGGCCTTTCCGAATGTCCGGTCCTGGGCAAGGACCATTCAGCTGAGCAAAGGTGTTGTCTGTTGGTGGTGGTTTGGTCATGTATTGTTCCCTATTGATCTGAGCAGGTCTTCAGTAACTTCTGAACTGTTGTTTGAACATCTTCCCTGTCTTGCTTATTTTCTCCCTGGCAACTGGTGGAGGGAGGCTTTGTTTTCTGAAATGGCAAACTTTGTTTGAGATGTGGGGCTGGCTGGCTTAAAAAAAAAAAAGGCTTTTGGTCAATCCCAGGAAGTCCTGGGGATCCAGGCTGTTGGTCTTGATGGTGGAGGGACTTCCTCTGAAGTCCTCTGCCGGGCAAGAAGGGGACAGGAGAGGAAAGGAAGCCCCTTCCACTCTTAAATCCCCAAAGTCTGTTTATCCCACAGGCGTTTGGAAATGCCAAAACGTTACGGAACGACAATTCAAGCAGGTTTGGGAAGTACATGGACATCCAGTTTGATTTTAAGGTAAAGCTTGCAAAATGGTTGGGGTTAAAAAAAAAGACCTCGCAGTTTTAACTCTTTAATCTGGAATAATGAAATTTGGCCACCTTGTAGAATCTTTTATTTATTATGTTTTTATTATTAGAGGTTATATTCTTTTTTTTTTTTGTCAGAAAATAAAAGTGTGACACCCATGCCTCCTTTTGCTTTTATTTCCACAATGCCCCTGTGAAGGAGGCCAGGCTGGGACTGAGAAGAGCTCTCAGGATCACCCAGCAGTGTCCTTTCAGGCGCAGGGGGGGGGGGAATGCACCTCTTTCCATCAACCTGATCTGACAGCCTCAGCTCTGGGTTTCACACTTAAGGGTTTCCTCCCCTGGCGGCATCTCTCCAGGGGCCTTGAGAAACGGCCTCCCCCATTCCCCTCTCCCCCCCCCATACCTGGGGCGTCCTTGGCTTGGGGGGGGGATGACGTGCCTGCTCCCTTGCTCCCCGTCAGCATCTTTGGTTCTGCTCTCTCCAGGGCGCTCCTGTCGGTGGACACATCCTGAGCTACCTGATTGAAAAGTCCCGCGTTGTGCACCAGAACCCTGGGGAACGCAACTTCCACGTCTTCTATCAGCTGCTGGAGGGGGGAGAGGAGGAGCTGCTGGAGGGGCTGGGCCTGGAAGGCAGCCCTCAAAAGTACAGCTACCTAGTCCAGGTCGGGGAGTGGGGGAGTGCAGCTTTATGTCTTCAGACTGTAATTTCCAGGTATCTGGAGGCCCCTCCAGCATCAACCTGACTTTGCAAAAGGCGCCACGCTGTTCTTCTCTTCCGCTGCAGGGAGGCTGTGCCAAAGTGTCTTCCATTAATGACAAAAGTGACTGGAGAACGGTCCAGAAAGCCTTTGTGGTTATTGACTTTGCCCCAAGAGATATTGAGGTAGGAACCTTATGAGGTGGCAGAGAGGAAAAGAGAGTTTATAGAGAGATATAAAACAACCCCTTTCCCATAGTGACCAGATTGAGTCGTGCTGGAGTTTGCAGTGTTCTTTGTCTTCATTCCCAGAATCTCTTGGGGATAATTGCGAGTGTCCTGCATCTGGGCAACATCCAGTTTGAAGAAGACAGCAACGGCCACGCCATCATCACCAACACCAACGGCACTCAACTCCACTGGATCTCCAAGGTGCCGGCTGGGGGTGCCAGTGACTCTGAATTAATTGGGAGGAGGCCAGCCCTGGGTGCAAAGCACAAGGCGTCCTTAAAACATTGGCCTCCCCCACTGGCACAGGGCACTTACGGGCAAACATTTTGTTCTGTTGAAATTCGGCCACAAGTCCACACACCCTGGACTGCTTCCCTACCCTGCGGTGTGAATGCAGCATCACAGGAGTAGCTTTGAGCATGGGGTACATGTGAAAGCACCCCCCCCGTCTCCCTGAGGTTTTGAACTGCAGCACACTCCTTTCTCGGGTGGCCTGCCGACCTACACCCGGTGATGTCTTTTTCCCTCCTCTCTCTAGCTTCTGGGCGTCCATCTGTCCATCCTTCAAGAATCCCTAACGCACAGGAAAATTGAGGCCCGGTTTGAAGAGGTGCCAGTCTTTCTCCCTGCTCCTTTGCCAGACAATAATGAGGAAACCCTCCGCCATGTATGCCCACTGTGCTTTTCTTCCTCCCTCCCTGAAGGTTTTAAGCCCCTTAGATGTGGACCTGGCATTTTACGCTCGGGATGCCGTAGCGAAAGCCATCTACGGACGGACCTTTACTTGGCTGGTCAACAAAATCAACACTTCTTTAGCCAACAGGGTTGGTCGTTCTTTGCTTTTTGTAATACTCATTTGTGTAAATGCCGCATCTCTTCGAGTCCCTGGTGGTTTGGGAAGGCTGACGGGGGTTGCTTGGGGGTCGTGTGCCTGGGCTCCAATTTCTGCACAGACATTCAAAGGACTCTCCTGTCGGGACCCCCCACCCACCCACCGCTTGTCTTCCTTTGGTAGGACTTCAGCAGGAAAACCGTGATCGGGCTGCTGGATATTTATGGCTTTGAAGTCTTTGAGACAAACAGGTAGGTCTCCATTCAGCCTGGATCAAGTCACTTTTTAAAATGATTTACGTGCTTAAAAAAATCAGATGAACTAAAGCGATACAAGAACACAGAATCTGGAGGAAGAGGAAGAGCAGGAGGAGGCTGTGATCCTGCAATCTCCCTTCCTCTACTTGTGGGGTGGTAAAAGTGGTTCAATCCAGAAACACTCCTAGAAAGCGCCTGTTTTAAAATGACTTTGTTTTTTGTTCTTTTTTCTGTGCCTGTGTTCAAGTTTTGAACAGTTTTGTATCAACTATTGCAATGAGAAACTCCACCAGCTGCTGATCGAAATGACCCTGAAGGCAGAACAGGAGGAATATGAGCTGGAAGGCATTGAGGTAGTAGCTCTTGCTCTGCCTCCCTTCTTCCCCTTAAACTGCCCCCCACCAGGCTCTCGGAAGCAAGAACTTACTAGGCTTGGCAGCCCCAGGGCTGGAGAGAGGAGCCAGAATGTCAGCTGCAGTTGTCAAGCCACCCTGGAGGCTACCTTGGGGGGGGGGGGGAGGAGAGGGCCTCCTGCTTCTCAAGTTGGATATAGATGCTCCTGTAGGAGTCAAGAGGTGCTCCAAGGATCAGAAAAGTCAATGATCTTTTGCAGAGCATACATGGTTTGGGAGAAGCATTTTGTTTTTACACAATGCATAAATTTACTCATTTTATCCAATCACTGAGTTTGGTCAAGCAGATCTCACAGTATGTTTAAAGCCAAACAAAATCCTGTCAAATTTTACCAGACCAGGATCCTTCTTGGTGTGAAGACAGTGTGTATTCTCAACCCAAATTGTGGGAAATTGTGCTTTCCCCCAAACTTTTAAGTTTTCTTCCTAGTGTTCATCTAAATTCTGTCTCCAGAGGCGGGTGGAGATGGACTCACTCTTTTAAGTAGAATTTTACTTGGCCAAATACGGCCTTCCACTGCCTTGACCTCCTGTGTTTTGTTCCTAATTGTAGTGGGAACCGGTCCCTTACTTTAATAACAAGATCATATGCGACCTCGTGGAGGAAAAGCACAAAGGCATCATTTCCATACTGGTAAGCAATCGTTGATTTTTGAGTAAGTTTACCCACTGCAAAAATAACTTGCCCTCTAAAGCAATTTTGGGAACTGAAAGGTTTTTTAATGGCTAGGGATTTCTATCGAAGAGCCATACACATTCTCACAAAGCTACAATTCTGTTTTTGTAGTAGAATGGCAGAGAAGGGAAAGTGGACCACAGGGTGGTTTTATAGAACCTGGGGCCGACCTGGGAATGAGGAACACTTTGAAAGAATTTTCTTTGAAGTTTGGAGATGCTTCCAATATCCACTCCAGATGTGCTGGCTGGCAGCTGTAAATATAAACCTGGTTTAGATTCAAGAGCCAGTCACATTGGCTGTGCCCCACACAACCATTGACCAGGATTTTTCAGTGGGAGTCATTGAACAAGTTACAATAGCCTGGTTCACACATTACCTTAAGCCAGAGGCATTATTTATTGCTCAGGTGGGGACCCAGCAATGGTCTTTTGTCTGTCTTCTCCAAGGATGAAGAATGCTTGCGGCCTGGTGAAGCCACCGACCTGAGCTTCCTGGAAAAACTGGAGGAGAAAGTAGGAGATCATGCCCATTTTGTGACGTAAGTGCCGGGCCCGCCACACCAGAGGGATGGGGTTGCCTCCCAGGGGATGTTCCCCTTGGCCCTTCTTGGAGCAGGTTCTAGTTCAGCCCCAGCATCCTGGCTTCCACGTTTGATCCTGGCCCAGCAGCCGGTGAAATGCTCTCTGAGGGGAGAAATTTTCTCTCTGTTTCTCTCTGCAGTCGAAAGCTTGCAGACCAGAAAACCCGGAAGTCCATCGACTGGGTGGACTTCCGCTTGCTTCACTACGCTGGCGAAGTGACCTACTGCACCGTGGGTAAGAGAGGGAGGCCATCGTGGGAACTGGCTTGGAAGGGACTGGAGCACTGCAGTCCCAAGGTTTTAACTGTTCAGACTTGTTTCTCAGCGTAGCAACTTCCAGATGAGTGGACTTCAACTCCCAGAATTCCCCAGCCAGCTGGGAGCTGAAGTCCAGGTACTTCAGTTGTCAAGATTGAGAAACACTGGTTTAGGGCAGCAGTGGCTTTGCTAAGATCATCCCAGTTTCATTTCCAAGAAGATTTCTCTTCCATGTTCCTAATTTTATTAGCATTGTTTTAACCTTGTTTCCTGCTGCCCTTAGGATTTTTGGAGAAAAATAACGATCTGCTTTACCGGAACCTCAAAGAGGTAAGAGTATTTTGGATCAACTGAGGTGGACTTTTATCTTGCCTTGGAGTTAAGGAATGGAGATAGAAGTAGAAAATGTGCAAATAAAGGAAGAATTGCAGGAATTCATAGAGTGGGTGGACAGCTCTGAGTGAATTTCAAAATGGAAAGAAATGGGCGTGACAAGTTCTGTGTGCTTTATCCTGTTTCAAGGTGCTGTGCAATTCCAAAAACGGTATCTTGAAAGAATGCTTCTGCCCATCGGAGTTACACAACCGGAGGAGGCCCGAGACGGTGAGTGCTTTCCTCGGCCCTTGAAATGTTTTAGTTCGGAGCCAAGCTATAGGCTGGCATTTTGTAGAATTTGGGAAGCACCTTTTATGGAAGGAGAAATTCCTTCAGCTGGAAGATTGCATTTCTTGCTCACGATTAACCATCGGGGACAATGTGCCCATGGAAATGGGGCTCGCAGAGGTCTTTAGCACACTTTGTCCAGAGTACGCACAACACACATTTTCACACAATTGAGGACCCCTTTTCAATATTTAACTGCCTGGGTAAGCTTGTAACTGTAGGGTGGGCGTCCCCTCCCCTCCATGCCCGTGACTGAGGTCTTCTTGCATGCACAGGTGGCCACTCAGTTCAAAACCAGCCTGTCCAGTTTGATAGACATCCTGATGTCCAAGGAGCCCTCCTACATCCGGTGCATCAAGCCCAACGGGGAGAAAGAACCTGGTATGGAGACCCCTGGGCTGGAAAGGGACAGCGGCTCTGCTTTCCGCCTGTGCTTCCCTTGATTTGTCCTTGGCCCAAAAGGCCTTTTGAGGGCAACCTAAAATCTGGGCTGCCCTGAAAACAGCAGCTAACCTTTCTCACCCCCCTGGAGAAATTAGAGCTGGTGGAAGTGCTGGTGAGGCCAGAGCCCTGGGTCTCGGGCAACAGGGAGGAGACAGGCCCGGGTGGTAGAGATGGAGGCTGAGATTGCCAGGTGGACCCTGGGAAGCCTGTAGGTTTTAGTTACAGGGTGGCGGAAGAGGGAGAGTGCCCTGAACGGGGTGCTGTTTTTGTTGCGCAGACAAATTCGATGAGTCCTTGATAAGGCACCAGGTGAAATACCTGGGGTTAATGGAGCACCTTCGAGTGAGGCGAGCTGGCTTTGCTTACCGTCGGAAGTACGAGCACTTCCTGCAACGGTGAGACTCCTCCCCATCCCCACACCCCACTCGTTGCCAGGGCTTCAGTCGTAACTGAGAACACAAGAGGGGGGGCACCTAATTCCCCCCAACCCCCAAACATTCTGGTGGAGATTGGACATCTGACTGGCACCCTTCATCTAGTAGCGTGTTAGGAAGGCGTAGCTCACCCATGGAGCGGTGTGGTTGCGCAGCCCATCCCTTTGCCGTGGGGCTTATGGAGAGGAATTGGAGTTAGCATCCTCTAAACAAGCTTTGCCCCAAATCACGAATTCTGGGCGGACACCTGGATTGAGAAGGCAGAGGTTAGTTTAAGTTTTGTGCTGGGCAGGAATGATTATGGTTCCCCCCCCCCGACCCCTTCCTCTGTTTGAAATCCATTTCTCCCGACTGAATCTAGATACAAGTCGCTCTGCCCAGATACCTGGCCCCAGTGGCGAGGCCCTGCAGCCAAGGGGGTGGAGAAGCTCATCCATCACATTGGCTACAAGCCCGAAGAGTACAAGATGGGAAGGTAAAATCGGTGCCTGCTGTGTGTTTGGGACCAGTTCGTGCAACCGACGACTCGTCATTAAAACACGGCTTCTCTCTCTCTCTCTCTCTCTCTCTCTCTCTCTCATTTAGGACCAAACTCTTCATTCGTTTCCCAAGAACGCTGTTTGCCACCGAAGATGCCTTTGAATATAGAAAACACCTCCTAAGTATGTGCTTGGATCATGTCCAGAAACATCTGTTTCTACCTGAACATTTTGACAAGTCTTTTCTCTGCAAATTCTCTCCTCTGAGAAGGCAGTGGAGATTGTGGAATCCCTTTGGCTTGTAGGTCCCTTTTCCCCTTAGAATTGCTAGAAGCAGATGGGTTTGGCAGCTCTTCTTGGGCCCTGGATGACCTCCTCTGAAATGCAGCTTTTAGGAGCTAATGTTACAAGGCTGCATAAAATCCCTGCACAAAATCCCTGCACTCTCTTCCTCCCCAGCTTGGGCCAAACAGACGTCTCCAGGCTTAGCATTGGAAGCCAATGGTCAGGTCTATTTAGGGTTAATTTTGGGGTGGTCTCCTTTGCATTGAGAGGGTCCTACGCTCAATCTCTGGTTTCTCTCACTGAAGAAACCAGGTAGCTTTGGTGGGAAAGATAGCTAAGAGCTACTTCTGGTCCCGTGAGAACGTAATGATACTGTTGACGAATCAAAGTTCTTGATTCAGTTTCGAAGAGTATCTAGGCCAGAAAGTCCCGGATTCTGTTCCTGGAGTTTCCAGTCAGAAGTGATGTCAGATGGCACCGCTGGTAAAGACAGGGGAGTTACACCGCCAGGCTTAGAGGCGCCTCCTTTCCCCACTGGAAGTCCCCAGAGGCTCCCCAAAGAAAGAGAAGCCACTTTCACCTGGCGAAGTCCTCAGGGCAGGGGGCTTTTTCCCTCTCTTTCAGTTTCCAGAATACAAGCCAAATTCAGAGGTTGCCTCGGGAAGCGAGAATTCCAGAAGATGAGACAAGCCGGTAAGGATCAGTTGGCAGGAACTGAAAACAATCTTGACCAGAACCGTGAAGACACAACACTTTACAACAAGTGCTGATTCCGAAACTCAGTTCCTGGAGGCACTTTTTGAAAACTCGCCCTGCTCGCCCTTCACCTGCTGATAAGGGGGCGCCGCTGGGTGAGCTGGGGACTCTTTCTGTCTTGCAGCCATCCTGTTGGAGGCGGCCTGGAGGGGGGTCCTGGCACGCAGGCTGGCCAAGAAGAGAATGTGGGCAGTCGAGACAATCCATAAGTAAGTTTCCTCCCTTTCCGTTGCCTCTCAGCTCGGGTAGGCAGTCAGGGGGGTCCCTGCTCATCTGGTTATTCTGTCTTGCATGGATGTGCACACACACACACACACACACACACACACACACACACACACGTCTACACCTGGGAAGGTACCTGGACAAGATAAGAAAGATGGTGCTGAATGTTGCTTTTCTCCCTTCTGAAGGTTCTTAAAAGGCTTCATTCACCGGACAGAGCCCCTGAACTCCAGCAACGTGGATTTTGTGAGGTTTGTGCAGTACGCCTACCTCGTGAAACTCAGGGATCACATTCCAAAGACCGTCCTGGACAAAAGCTGGCTTAAGCCTCCAGAGATCATGCAACAAGTGAGAACGGGCTTGTGGGAAGCCTCCAGGTTCAGGGGCAGTTTGCTGCAGAGTCAAGGGAGGGAGCCTCTGGCCTTCCTGTCTGGCGGTAGGTTCTCTCTAGGCTGCTGGGAAGGGGGAGGCGCTCTGGAGATGCTGGGTCTCGCCAGCTCTTCTGCGGTTAGCTGAGGAATAGTCAGAGTAAGAAGGTGTCTTAAACTGACATCCATATTTGACTTGTACAAAACTGGTGATTGTGAGTTGGAGCACCATCTGCTGTCCCAGGAATGGAACCCGGGTGCTCCAAAGGGGTCTGTGACTGATTCTTGTGTCCATCTCCTTCCCTTCTCCCTCACAGACCTCTGCTCTTCTGAAGACAATCTGCAAAAGGAATCTTGTCCGGAAATATTGTTGTGGAATCACTGCGGAGAAGAAGGCACAGGTAGCAGGGTGGGGCCGTGATGAGACCTTCCGATGCAGAATCCAGGAGGGGATAAAGGAGGACATAAATTCTTATTTGACTTCCAACCAGATGGAGCAAAAAGCTGTGGCCAGTGCCATCTTCTCTGGGAGGAAAGTTGGCTACGTGGAAAGCCTGAACGAACTCTTTGTGGATAGCCGGCTGAGTGAGTAACTGAGAGTTGGCAGACCCAACCGAGAACTTGCCTTGGCTCAAATGAAGGATTCCCCTTAGTTCACTGTCTGGATATACTTTGGGGGGAGTTTTGGGGATAGCATAGAATGGTGGAGTTGGAAGGGGCCCCAAGGATCATCTGAGGGGGTCAACACATTTCCCAAAGGACCTGAAGGCAGGACAGGAAGTAACGGGTGGAAACTGATCAAGGGGAGAAGCAACCTGGAACTAAAGGGAAATTTCCTGATAGTGAGAACAACTAATCAGTGGAACGACTTGCCTCCAGAAGTCGTGGGTGCCCCATCGCTGGAGGCTTTTAAGAAGAGACTGGACAGCCATTTATCTGGAATGGTCCAGGGTCCCCCGCCTGAGCAGGGGGTTGGGCTAGTACATCTGCAAGGTCCCTTCCAACTGTTTTTCTGTTATCTGGTCTAGCAGGAAAAGAAAGTCCTTATTAAAAGCTCACTTTCCACTTACCTTCAGGTTGCTCTGTAGCTTTCAGGAACTCAAATATCGGTCTTGAATTGTATGTTTTATATTATAAGACCACTTTAGAAGAACCCTTAAATGAAATAACGAAGGGAAAAAAAATAAAAGCATTTCTGGCATGCCAGAAGTTTCTTCGAAGGCCTCAGAAGAGCTTTCTGCCCCCTTCGCTCCCAGGTGAGAGCGAGCTGTGCCCGAAAGTCCTGCAGATGATCCGCCACGAGAAGGTCCAGGTAAGGCAGAGGAGGGCGTCCCCCAGGTGAGCGGTGCAAGAGCTCCGAGCGACTCTCCCGGCCTCCGAGGCTGCAGGGCAGACCCTGCCGCTCTTCTGGAGCTCCCTCCTGGCAGTCCTAGCTAAAATGTCTCTTGTGCTGGTTTCCAGTATGTCACCCCAGTGGTGAAATATGACCGGAACGGCTTCAAGCCCCGGGAGCGGCTGCTGGTCCTGACCCGCCTGGCGGCTTACGTGGTGGAGACGGCCAAGATCAAGCAAAAGATCGAGTACGCCACCCTCAGAGGTAACCTTTGAAATCGCTTCTCTTTGGCCTCGACTGGTCCTCATCCCCGACACCGACCCGGTTGTGTCTGTGGAGCGAAGCGTTCGTGCACCCGTGGGAGGGAGAACGTCGCACCTGTCCTGATCCTGCTCTTAGGCAGGCTGCCCCGGGTCTAGAAGAGCCGGTGCAGAAACTAGAATTTCTCACCAAATTAATTCAGAGCTTTGGTCTAGGTATAGAGGACCTTCATAAATATCTGGAAGGGAGCAAGGCCGATGAAATCAGGTGCTTTTCAATGACCAGAAAAAGGAATGGCCAATTGCAATAATAATAATAATAATAATAATAATAATAATAATAATAATAATAATAGATGCACAAAGAGATTAAGGGGTGGGTGGGAGGGGGCTGGAATGGGGAACCTCGGGAAGAGGAAGGCTCCAATATGTTGGGAAAAGACGGAAACCAGAGAATTTGTGGTGGAGAAGAGCGTAGAGCTCCATCTTTGCAATGTCACCAAGGGCACCTCACAAAAGAATCAGGGGTATGAAAGCATTAGCTTGATTAATGAAACCTTTTTTAAAAAAAGAAAAAGTAGAAATTTGGTCCTGCTTTTTCCACATTTCCGTAAAATTGACCCCGTGGGACAGAAGAAATATTGCTTCATCCGAGTTACGTGGTCTCCCCTTCTCTGTGCCAGGCATTTCCACCAGCAGCCTCAGCGACGGCATCTTAGTCCTCCACGTTCCAGAAGACCACAAGCAGGAAAAGGTAACAGGAATTTGCTCCTTCTGGAGGCCCTCCTGCTTCAGGAGGCGATCAGAACTGACAGTCCTCCTCGGGCCTTCCTTGCAGGGAGACGCCATCCTGTGGTGCAAGCATGTGTTTGAGGCCGTCACCAAGCTCTGCATGTTAGCCAAGAAGCAGGACTTGGTAGCCGTGGTCCAGGGAAGGTAAGTTGCCTTTGCTTCGGCAGATGCGGCCGTCTTGGGGTGCTTGCCTTTTTGGAATAAAATCTGCTGAAGAGACAGCAAATGATCTTCTAAGGCTTCCCTTTCATAACACACAGCAGTTAAAATCTGAATCGCTTCCTCCTTAAATGTTCCAAATGTTTGTTTTCTCACCGAGATCTGTTCTGACTCAGAGTCATGCCCGGTGCCGCAGATGAGCCCCGGGTCGTCTTGTGCTGCTGAGCCTGGTCCTTGGCAGAGGCAGCTAAAGCCCCCAGCCTCTGGAGCCCTGGTATCATTTCGGTGGCTTTTACCTGTTTTATGATAGCCTCCAGTTCCAAATCAGTCCAGGGAAGGAAGGAACCATGGTTTTCACCACCGGCCAGGAGCCTCACATCTACAAAGCCAAAAATGGACAGCTGACTGTTGTAAGTCTCTGGAGGGCAAACATCCAGGGTGCTTTGGTGCCTCCAGGCAAGTGTGAATATTATTTCCCTCCCTGACCAATCGTGGTTGTTTTTTTCTCAAAAGACGGAAGGAGGTTCTGCAGAGGCAATCCACCTCTGCTGACTCATTTAGCTAATGCAGTTTGCTTTTTTTTAAAGAAAGAAAACGTCTTTCTTTAAAAAAAAAAAAAAAAAACAGCCACCATTTTTTCATATGTGTTTCTTTGGCTGCAGGAGCTTTCTGGCTGGCTACAGGTCGCCAAAGTGTAAAGAAGCTATTTAGAAATAACTCTTTTATGTTTAAACCCCAAAGGTGTCGACCAAGACAAAGTCCTGATGGGGGAAACCAACCTCAAGGGCCATCCGTTACTCTTGTCTGCCTGAAAAGAAACGTTCCTGAAATCCCCACCACCTCTGGGGAAGAGTTCGCGTGGCCTTCTTCGTAAAGCTACTCAGAGGCTGATGGAGTTGAGGTTATTTGCCTCTTTTTTTTTAAAGCACAAAGTTTGCCCTTTAATCCTAGACCCTGTGACAGCCTCAGTGAGCCTCTTCCAGAAGAGATGCAGAGATTCAACCTTCCAGTTGGCAATAATTGAACCATTAACTGCACCAAACAGCCCCAAGCCACGGTTTTAGAATGCAAAACTCCGGAAAAGAATCTCAGCATAAAAAATGAAGGATTCCAAACGCTGTTTCTAAGCAGGACTGGGAGAGGAGCAATAAGGCCGGCTGTGAAACTCTGCCCTGGGTCTGAGTGAGAGTCTGTCTTCAACCAAATTCTCTGCAAAGTTAACTGGGGCCGGTGAGCCTCAGCCCCGTTTGTGAAAAGCAAAACACTGAGGTTCTTCCCTCTGAGACAGAGCAAAGAAGTCCTGGAAGGCACTTCTGTTCCTGGAGAGTGACGACCCACTTTATTCTCTGTATTAGCAACCTGTGATGTATTTATGAAAAATTAAAAAGGTGAAAGGAAAATTAGCTTTCACTGGCCTGGCCTCTCCGTGTCTGCTAGCCACCTCAGCCCAGAGGCATTTTTTTAAAATGCCAGACCAGTTTCTAAGAACGGCTACCTCCCTCCCCCTCATTTCTCAGTGGCACTCGGAGGGCTGAAGGGGGTCTGCAGAATCGGTCACCACACACAGACCTCCTGATCCTTGAAGTGTCATTCGCAGAGGAGGATGGGGGGGGGGGACATGCAGAAGCATCTCAGCAGCCCAGGCTGTGTAGCAACACTGAGGACAGGAAACACCCCCCCCCCAGGTCTTTGGAGAAAGGGGCTTCTGGTTTCCACTAGCTAGTAGTAATGCTGCGTTCTCTCCCACAACAATCTTTGTAGTTTCTCTTCTGACGCTTGTATCCACGCTGACTCCTCAGTCACAAGCATATCTGGGTACGTTAGTGACTCAACAGCACTTGAGAACCGCCCTTAGATCAGAGCCGGCTGCTGGTCTTTGTTCCACCCAAGAAATTTAGGGTCTACTTCAGTGCTGTGGCTCATTTCCCTTGTGGGGCATTTGCTTCCTGCTAAAAACTGTGATTTTGCTCCCTGACCTCTTTCAAAAATGATATGGACAAGACAGTCTTAAGTGAGGACACCAAGAGAAGCTGGAAATAGGAAGCATGTCTAATTTATTTCCCATATTTAAAATCTATGTCAAATGCGAAACACTTACAAACAGAAGAAATCACATCAACAGAGAGGAGGAAGTGATTCTGCACAGACCGATTCCTGCACGGCTCCTTTAAGAAGGCTTGGAGAAGGCAAGGCTTGACTTCACATGTCAAAGCAGGGGGGGGGGGCTTGTTCTATAACCGGTTTGCTGCTCTTCACAAGACCCGCGGCTGCCTTGAGGCCAGAAAGCAAAGGCACTGCTGGGGGGGGGGCAAACTTTTCCTTTGGCCAAAATTGTTTTTGGAATTAGAATTGCACAAGGACAGTCTAGAACACAGATGCAGGCACTCCTGTCCACTCTGATCCCTCGCTGGAGGGGGGGGGCTGGTCAAGAGTGGTTAAAATCTGATTCAAATACCTCACCGACAGGCTAAAGAGATGAAAGCTTGGAGCTGCTCTTTCTTGGGTTGGGGTCCTGGTCATCCCACCCCAAAAACATTTCCTCACTGGTCCCCTTGACCATTTCAGGCGATTCCTTTTCTGGGAGCTGATGGTCCTCTCTGCCTGCCTGGACCAAGAGCCCCTCCCTCACCCAAAGAGGAAACGGAGGGCGCCCCCACCCCTTCCTCTGGGCGGGAAACATCCAGAAAGACATTTTCCAATTCCACAGCTCAGGAACAAACACAACTCCTGAAAATAAATATCCCGGGGAGAGCCTTAACAGGCAGCAAAGGATCCACTGAACGATGTAATATGATGCCGCCATTTTGGTTTGCAGCATCTTTCAACAGTTGTTTTTTGGCTACGCTGGTTTAGCTCCCTAAACTCTGAAACGCACAAAATAAACACTCTTTTTCCTAAACGGAAACAGGAATTAAGCTAATTCTGGACTTTGGTCTGCAGCCTTGGACACTTTGCAGAACATCTTAACTCAGCCGATCTCCAGTCGCAGCTTAATCTTTGGGTTTTCTGCTACTCACACTGCAAATTGCAAATAAGATTTCTGCTGTCAAATAAAGGCTCGGAGAGATGCAACAGACATCGATTAAAGCATGAAGGAATAAAGGCCTTCTCACTCCCACCTGGTGCAGCAAGATGGATTCTGTAGATTCCAGCCAGCCAGGCACTTTCTCACTTACATAGGGGCTTTGGGGGTGGAGCTGAGGGGTCTCTGGGTGGGAGGCTGAGAGTGGCATACTGTATGGAAGCCCTGGGCAGAAACAGCCGCCTGTTCTCCCTCCTTAGGCACCTTTTCCAATCCAAGGGGCTTTAGTGCCTCTTCTGAACTTCATGGGGCCAAGGGGAGACGCCTAAGGAGTCTTACTGGTGGGCGCCATCTTCCCAGGGCCTCAGGGCTTTAGTTCGGCCCATATGCAAAATGGCTTCTAATTTAGACGGTACAGCCGGGGAGAGCCTGCTGGTCCCAGAATAAGGAGACCGAATCACACGTGGACACGGCCAGAAGATCATTGCTTGGCAGATTGAGCCTTTGGTCTTGGATCAGAAGGTGGGACTCGTGAATGGGGAGGGGGCAATGAGAAAGAAGGCCACAGGTGCACTTTGCAGCATCTACTGAAGGCAAGATGGGAACTGCCATCCTTGGGGAAAAGTGAAGAAAACGGGACCTTCCTGCCTGGTCCTACCACTGTTTTTCCTCCTGTAACAGGAGATGGAACACCTCCCTTGGGTGGCAAAGGGGTTTAGCCACAGCTTTTCTCCGTGGGAATGAGGGCTCCTCCAGACTTCTAAAAAGGCTCCCCTGAAGGAGCCCACTCCACCGAGAGAGAGGCTGAAGCCGAACAGAGGCTGCTGTGTGTTCCTACCCAAAGAGCAGTTTTCTCCAAGCTCAGGACAGGAATTCAGAAGTGCTGCAAAGCCCAGACCTGCACCCCGGACTTGGTCACAAGGGATAATCTTTGCTTACAACACGCTGCATCGTCAGATACCAAAAATACTCTCGGTAGAAAAGGACAGTCCTGGCAGCGAGCCGGAGGCCGGCCGAGTCGGAGGGAAGGGGCCGGCCCACTACAGCTGCTCACTGGTGCAGGTGAGTACGGTCATCGGGGCGCTTGATGTGGATCCGGCGGACCCTCTCGATGCGCTCACGCTCCTCATCCTCCTCCAGGTGGTGGGAGCGCCCGGCTGCCCCCCCGGTGGCCTCCAGCAACGCATTGTCGGGACCTCGGCCATCCTGGGCTTCGTAGAGCAGGATGTTCAAGGTCTCTTCGTAGATTCGGGCTTCTGGGAATTCAACCTGGAGATGCCAAATGGAGGGAGGGGGTGTTAGACAGAGCCCTTGCGTGAACCTTTCTGAGTGGAGGGAGGGGCAGAGAGTCAGCCACTCACTTTGGTCTGCTTCTTCTCGGTGGCGTACACAATCGAGGTGCAGCACACTTCTGCAATCTTGCGTCCCTGGCCGTAAAACGACCAGCAGCAAATCTCATCTCCCAGCACGTCTTTGATGAAAAGGACCCTCCCATTGAAGCGCAGGGAGAGTTTGTCAAACAGCTCGATGTTTTTCAGCATGTTGTCGTCTGAATTGCTGGGGGGAGTCGAGCCCAGAAGGGAGAGATAGGGCAATGCTCTTAATTAGCCAGTTCCCTCCCCCTCCCAGCTGTTTCACTCCCCTCCTTTCTGCCTAACGAGGTAACTGCCCCCTTCGCCCCCTCTCCAGACTCTCTCCTTGGTACTGAAAATACTTTACCTGGTGTAGGAATATTTGTTATTGCTTCGGTTGTAGAGCAATTTAACCGCTGGCTGCAAAAACACAGAAGACAGATATAGGCCTTTAGTTCCATGGGTCACCACTAGGTGTTGAGGGCAAGCTGGTCCCCTATAGGGGATGGTTGGAACCGCAGAGTTAAACATGTGGAGACCAGCTGCTCCCCTCCAAGTTGGCCACCATGAAGATCTGGTGGAAGGGGGAAAGCACCCCCCCCACTTCGGAACCCCCCCCCCTTAATGTGAGGACTTTTACCTTGTTGGACGTGGCTATGAGTTTCTGCTCTTCCTTGGAGGACGTGATGATGGGCACTTTGCAAAAAGGCTCATAGACATCCTTGTTCTGAGAAAGGAAGAGGACGGACTGAAAGGGAAGCAGGAGGCTCGGGCAGAAGCAAGCCCTTACTTAGAGTTGGACAAGTCCTCCCTGGCCAAGCTCAGGAATCTTGACAGACTCTGGAGTTGCAGAGGTTTCTCTTTAGAACAGTGTTTCCCAACCTTAGCAACTTTAAGATGGGTGGAGTTCAACTTCCAGAATTCCCTCGGAGTTGAAGTCCACCCATCCTAAAGTTGGGAGAAAGTACCTTGGAAGCACCAGCAGCAATACCGAAAGGGGGTCCAACCCACAAGGCTGCAGTTCCTCCTGCCTCCCTCCACCCCTTCCAGGTGGGAACCTCCTCCACTCCCCCTCGGAGGGGTCCACAGGGGGGGGGGCAGCAGAGTGGGGAAGGCCGGCTCCTGAGCACGCACGGCGGATTTACCTGAAGGGCAGCCTGGCACTCATCCACCAAGCCTTGGACCAGGTAGTACTTGGCCTCGGCCAGCAGCTCCTCAATCTCCCGCCGGCTCTCCGGGAGGGGCACGGCACCATCGCGCAGGTAGTTTAAAATGGTTCCAAAATGCTTGCCACAGCGGTCTATCAGGATCCAGCCTAGGAAGAGACAGAAAACAGCCAAGATTGGAAGGAATGCAGAGTCCAAGCTAACCCTAATCCTATCCCTGGCTTGCTGGCTGCCGTTGTTTAAGTCTGAGCTTCATCATGTGGCCGGCAGCCTCAAGAGCAGCCAGCTCGGAAGAGGCCAGATCTCACACAAGGGCGCAAGTTTCCATGAGCTCAACTTGTTTGTGGGCAGAGAGACAAGAATGTTTAAGGGAGGGGAGAAGATCAAACACGTGTAAACACGCTGATCTTTGACAAATAAGGGCAATGCTGGCTGAAGAATGCAAGGGCGGTCTTAAATAAGGGGCTTACAGCTAAAACCTGATTAAGCTCAATTCTGCAAGCTACAAATTTTATTCCAATGGAACCAGGAGTCTTTTTTTTTTTAGTCAAACTATAGTAACTTTTTGATATTTGAACACATTCATTCTTCTTAGTTTAAAATCCTCAAATGCAAATGGTTGAAAAATCTGTTCAATTCAGAACAGTATCTGGAAGCTCTTCCTTCCGGCCATTTGTATCTAGGTGAAACTGCAGGAGTTTAATCACAAGGACCGGGCAGGAAGTTGGCAGACCTCCTGCCGGAAAAGCCACCGTGCGAATGGCTCCTCATCAAACGACTACATGTCAGCACACGAAGCCAAGGGCAGCACGTGTATCATGGCATCAGCTGGCGTGCTTCTGTCTCCTGGGGAAGCAGGGGCCACAGAAGCATGACCTTTGAGGAGCAACCGCACTCTCAAAGCAATTCTGAAACCTGGGAAGGCCGTTCTGGAGGGTGGCCAGAAGCCACTTGAGCCCCAAAGCGCCCCTGGCAGAGCTGGCCCTCCTGGGACCCTTTCCTCCCCCAGGGCTTTACCTTCGCTGTCCGTGAGGACCTCCATCCGGCCACTGAACATGGCCTTCAACATGGTGTCCTGCTTGGTCAGCGTCTGCATGGTGGTGTAGTACAAGGCGCCGCCGATGTTCAGCTTCACATACTTGGAGCTGGGACTGCCGCTTTTGAAGGACGTGGTGCGGGTCGTGGCTGCTGGCACGGCGGTGCTCACCACTGTCTCTCCGGACATCTCTTCCTGGAAGAGCAGATCCCTTCAGGGAGGCCCAGCAGCTCAGGAGACCCCCCCACACACAGCTGGACCGGGGTGCCCAGGGTGACCCCAAGCCTAAAGCCCTAAAGCGGCAGCGGATCAGGCTGGGTAAGCCCCCCCCCCGTCTTTTGAAAGGGGCTGAGGAGGGAGGGGAAGCCCCTCTGGCCTCTCTCCCAGGGTGTGAAGCCCACAATCTTCAGGGGCCCCCTAGGAGACCCCCGCCCTAGAGGCCCCAGCAGCCTACCCGGGACCCGGCAGGGCTAAGGTGGGCTTGAGACCCAGGCAGGCCAGTGGCCGGCCAAGGTCTCGGCTCCCCCCCCCCGCCGCCACCCCCCGGTCTTTGAGGCTCTGTTCCCCCCCCCTTTCCTCCCCTTCCTCTCCCAGTATCGGTCTCGCTTCGGGCCCCGCATCTCTCGGCCGACCGGCCGGCCGTTAAGCGAGTCCAGCTTCCCTCCGGGCGCAGAGGCGAGGCGGTGGGCGAGAAGATCCCCCTCTCCCCGCCTGCCACCCCTTCCTTTCCGGTTCTCTGAAGCCGCGCCGGCCCCTGCGAGCCCCGACGCGCAAGGAAGCGGCGCCGGCTGGGCAAGGCGGCCTCCCCGGGGAAAAGTCCCAGGAAAGCGAGCGACTCCCGCCCCTTCCCCGTGGGGACCGACTAGATGCCATTCGGGAACGCCTCGCTGCATTCGCCCAGCCTTCCTTGGACGCGATTCGCCCCCCAAGTCCTTCCCTGCTCCCCCCCACCAGGGGACCCCGCCCGCCAACTGCGGCCCGCCTTCCCCGCCGGCAGGGGAGACCCCCGAAAGGGAGGGGGCGAGGATTCCCCCCCCCCGCCAGCGCCCCCTCCTCACCATGAACAGCCCCGCGCGAGGCCCCCTCCTCCCCTCGGCCAGACGGTTCTCCTGGGCGGGGCGAGGAGCGGCTGACGCGACGCGCGGGGGCGGTGCCTCTCCCGGCCCCGCCCCTTCCTTCTCCGCAGGTCGGAACTCGGTCTCGCGGGGCGCGTTTCCAGACGGGCCGCAGCCTCCGGAGCGCTTCCGCTGCAACGGCCGGAAGTGGGTCCGTCGGCCTGGTTCTATGGTCCTGAGAGTTCCGCGGGCGCTCGGCGGGGGGAGGCCGGGGGATGGGGGGGCGCGCCGTCGAGGGTCACGACCTGTAGCAGCCTCGCCGCGCGGCCGGAGCCTCCTCGCCCTTCGCAGGCCTGGCCGCCAACGCGCCCCCTGCCAGGTAGGACGGGGCCGCGGAGAGGCAGGGGAGGCCGAGGGGTCCTCTCGTGGGGGGGGGGTCTCTGCCCTGCCTCGGCACCCCCGAAGGGGCCACGGCGCCAGCCCTCCCTCACCCGGGCCTTGTGATCCAGCGGAACCTCAGGAGACCCCTCCCCAACTGAGCTGGGGCTCTGCCCCTCCAAAGGCCATCCCCGGGACCCCTTGCTCTGCAGGCCGATCAGAGGCCCCTCCTATCCCGTCTGATCTTTCTTTTTCTCTCTCTCTCTCCCTCTCTCTCTCTCTCTCTCTCCTTCTTTCCTGCCTGCCTGCCAGCCTCTCCAACTGAAGCGGCCAAGAAATGTGATCTGGAGCTGCCGGGCATGAACTCGTTGCTCTCCTCTACAGCCAGAAAAAGCTGCAGTTTGGAGCGAGTGTGAACCATGTTTGTCTACGGGTGACTTCCGGGCTCTTCTGCAAAACACACTCGCCTGGGGTGAGCCCCACGCCGGATCTCCTTTCTGCCGGAGACAGTCTGAGCGGTCTTTCCCGGACCCATGTGCAAAGGTTTTGGTGCTCCTGTTTCAGGTCTTCTCTTCCTTGCCTCTTGTTCACAGAGGCCAAAATGTTCAGTGCAACCCAATCATCCAAGGCCGAGTTCCTGGACAAGGCCCGGCAGGCCCGGGAGGAGCGTCGGGAGCAGAAGGAACGTGAGCAGGCTGCGGTGCAGATCCAAGCCCTCGTCCGAAGGTTTCTGTGCCGTTGTCGGCTGCAGAGGAAAATCAGGTGTGCATAGCTATGGCTACAATGAAAGTTTATCTGGGCATATGGAAAAATTGTCTGTTGTCATCCTTGAAATCTTCCAGTCCCAGAACAAAGGCCTGGGAGATAATCTGAGTCAAGATACAGAAGCCCAGCAGCTTCCTGGGTTTCTGTCTCCAAATTCAACGCCTTGCCTGCTGCACTACAGGCACCTGTTGCTGGGACTTCCTTGTTTCTTCTCTTCTTTGGCCCAGGAGCGAAGTGGATAATTTCTTTCACACCAGCGGTCCTGCCAAGAAGACGGCTCTTTCGCTGTTTAAAATTTCCCGAAAGCTGCTCTTTATTTTCAAGCTCCCTCAGGACAAAGAGGTACAGCACATCTCGCTCTTTTGTAGACTTTTGGAATCTTGGCTACTCTTGATATTAGTTGGGAGGGGCATCTATAGGGGTGGACCCCTTGATCTCCCAATTCTGGAATGGAAGAATCCCTCGTGATTGCCCTTGGACAAGCAAAGGAAGGCAGCAACGTCAGAAGCTTTCCGTTGTTTCAATAGCCGTTTAAATTTAGTTCTGGGGAGTCAGAAATAAAGGTGGATGCTGGCAGTTTGGGAAAGGCTGATGCCATCTCACCTTGAGTCTGTTTTTTCCTCTCTGCAGAGATTTGAAAAGCTGTGCCGCTGCATCCTTAGCAGCATGGAGGCAGAAAATGATCCTAAAGTAAGTAGGTTCGCTTTTCATGAGATGAGAATGCAACTGTGCATTTGGCTATTTATTTTGCCAAAACCAAAAGAGAAGCCCGGAACTGTTTCAGTGGCGAAACCACAGCTACAGCTTTTCCTGGGACTGGCTGTGGCTGTTTTGAGACATTTCTTTGTCTCAGTGGCTTCAAAGAGAGAAAGTTCCTCTGAATTGCAGGATTGCAGCATTTTGCCCTTTGACCTCTCAATCCCGTGAAAGGAGGGGGGAACCTTCCCTCCCAATGTGCCAAGTTACTCTTATGGTTCTTTGGTTTTGCAGGTATGGTACGTATCACTTGCACTCTCCAAGGAGCTGACTCTCCTATGGATCCAGCAAGTAAAGGATGTGCTGTGGACTTGCTGTGAATTTCTGAAGTTGCTCAAGGTACAGATTGGTCCAATTTCTGTGGCAGGGATTTTTTTAGGGGTATGTTTCCCCTGCTCTTATCCCCTGCAGTATGTTTCCTTTTCAACTTTCTGGGGGTTCATTTTTCTAGCCAGACATCTTGCAAGATTCAAAACTGGTAAATTTGCACCTCACAATGCTGGTGACTTTTACGGACACCTCTACCTGGAAAATCCTGCAGGGAAAAGGTGTGTTTGCAGAAATCTGCCTCTAAATGCTGCTTTGTTTGCCCCTAAAACATCACTTTGTCTGGCCGCAAAGGGAAGCTGAGTTATAGAATCTTTCTCTCTGGGTCTTTTTGCAGGAGAAGCCCTGCGCCACGCCATGAATCACATCTGTGCAAATATCATGGGACATCTCAACCAGAAAGGGTTTTACTCTGTGCTCCAGGTTTGTTGGTGTCTGGTTGCCTTTGCTGTAAGTTCCTCTGTGTGAATCTCCTCACTGGGAAAAGATGGAAAGAGCTTTATGGGGATTTATGCTCATCTCTGGTTTGTGACATCTAGCTGTCATTCATTCATTCATTCATTCAGAACAGGGGTCTCCAGCCAGCTGAGGAATTCTGGGAGTTGAAGTCCACAAGTCTTAAAGTTCCTGAGGTTGGAGACCCCTGCTCTTGACCCTTAAATGCTTTTCAACTTTTTTTTTTTTTTTTTTCAGATTTTGCTGACAAACGGTTTGGCAAGGTCTCAGCCTTCCTTTTCCAAAGGCACCTTAACAGCGGCTTTTTCTCTTGCACTGCGGTGAGACAACTAGCTGGGTCAGGAACCCTTTAAGGAGACTGTGGGGGGCGCTCTGGACTTCTCGAAACCCTTGTGATGTTTTTCTCTCCCCCAGCCCGGTGGTTGCGGCTCAGTTTTCTGACAATCTCTTGCGATCCTTCTTGATCCACATCATGTCCGTGCCAGCCATCACGAGCCATCTTGCAACACTGACACCGGAGGTAGGTGAGAAAGAAAGGAGGTGACGGGTTTGAAGCTTCCTTCTAGAATTCCAGAATGAAAGTCTGGTTGTCCTGCACCCTCTGTAGAGCTGGGTTTCTCAGCCTTGGCCACTCTTCAGATGTGTGGACTTCAACTCCCAAACTCCCCAGCCGGCAAAGAGTTTGGAAGATGACGTCCACGTGTCTTAAGAGTTAATTGCCAAGGCTGAGAAACCCGGCCCTACAGACTTGTTCCGGCCATCTCCTTTTTGCCAGATGGCTCCTCCTTGATCTTATCCCTGTGAATCAGGGCTGGGGTTTTTCAGGAGATGTAAGAATGAGGGAGAAAGGGGTTAGTTGCTTGCAGAGCGCTGTAGAGAAAAGCTGACAGGAAATCTTAAGGGCCTGTTTGTTTCCCTTTCTCGGCGAGAGCCAAACAAAGAGACTAAACCTTAATTCCAAAAGATCTGGAGACCTCAGCTTGCTCCTCGGGTGAAAGTCTGCTTTCCTTTCAGCGCCTGGCAGTGATGGAATCCCAGGATCTCCTGCGCAGGTTCCTGTTGTTCTTGAGCCGGGAAGAACAATGCAGAGACGTCTGTGTGTGTCTGGAAGGAAGCCACACGCTCTGCCTTCTGGGTAAGATCCCCAGGGGACGTGAGGCCAGAGTTTGCACCGTGCCCTGCAGAATGGGGGGGGGGCTCTAGGAATTTGGGAGGCCAGGTTGCCCTCAAAAGAGTTTCCTCCCTCCATCTATACACCAGGCAGCATCTGGCCACAAGCATCATTTTTCACAGTCATATTTGTGATCCTCGGTCACTGCAAGACTTCTTCCAGATGTTGCAGGGGACAGGTGTTGGGGCTGCTTTGAATGCTCAGCTGCGACTGTTTCCCAGGCAACCTTGTCTACTTGGGCTCGCTGAATGAGAAGGTGCTGCAGGAGGAGACCCCCCACTTTGTGAGCGTCCTGACGCAGACGCTCTGCTACTGCCAGAAGTACGTCTCGCAGAAGAAGTCCAACCTCACCCACTGGCACCCGGTCCTTGGCTGGTTCTCCCAGACGGTGGATTATGGGTAAGCACCCCTGGCGCAGCCTTGTTCATCGGAACCTGCTGTCTTGGGGTCCCTCCTTGCTTTTCTGAACTGGAGGCCTGCTGGAGGCACCAGGTTTGCCCCTTCGGGCGCCCAACCGCGGCCGCTCCCTTGCTCCTCCCCGCCTCTCTCCCCCCAGCCTGAACGAGTCGATGCCTTTGCTCACCAAGCAGCTTCAGCACCTCTGGGGGGCCCACATGATCCGGATCCTCTTCAGCGACGTGCTCAGCAAAAAGCTCCTGGAGAGCCAAGAAGCTGCTCGCCAGCCCCCGCCAGCCTCCTCCCCACAGAGCAGCCTGCCCGTGAAGAGTGAGTAGTGATGCAGACCCCCCCCCAGCATTCCCCAGGGCTCCCTGGGTGGTTCCTAGGTCAGTGATTCCCAAACTCTGCAAGCTGAAGAATGCTCCAGTCAGTATTTGTGGGCTTCAGTTCGTAGAATTCCCCAGCTGAGGAACTGTGGGAGTTGAAGTCCACCCTGCTGCTACCTCTGAACTCGAGCAAGGAGCAGCTTCCCTCAAGCTTCCCTCAGGGTTGGTCCCACCTTCCTTGTGTCTCCGTCTCCCGCCAGGTCTTTTCAGACGCGCCTTCCAGAAATCGACCTCGGTCCGCAACATCCTGAAGCCCATCGGTGGCAAAAGGGTGGATTCGGCGGAGGTGCAGAAGGTGTGCAGCATCTGCGTCCTGTACCAGATGGCCCTGACCACCTTGACGCAGATCCGGCTGCAGATCCTCACAGGTGGGTTTTGGCAGGGGGGGGAGCTGCTGGGGGTCACTGTCAGGTGCTCCGTCGGGTTATCCAGAGAAGCAAAAGTAGCTGAAAATCTCCTCCCTCTCCTGGTCTGGCTGTTCGTTCCCTTCCAGGCCTCACCTACCTGGATGACCTCCTGCCCAAGCTCTGGGCCCTCATCTGTGAGCTGGGCCCCCAGGGGGGCCTGAAGGTCTTCCTGGAGTGCTTGAACAACCACACGGAGGAGTCCAAGCGGCTGCTGGCCATGCTGATGCTCTTCTGCGACTGCTCGCGCCATCTGATCACGTAGGCTGGGGGGGGGAAGAGGGGCCCGGAGGGGGCCTGGCCTCCCCCTGCGTGGGTAAAAATGCAGCCTTTTTCCTTCCCCCTCTCACCCCCCCACCCCCCCAGGATACTTGACGACATTGAAGTCTACGAAGAGCAGATCTCCTTCAAGCTGGAAGAGCTGGTTACGATCTCCTCTTTCCTGAACTCCTTTGTCTTTAAGATGATCTGGGACGGGATTTTGGGTAAGTCCCTCGGGGGGGGGCAGCAGTGCCCTCTTCCCCCTCCTCCTTTACAGGGCTGCTGTGTTTGTGGGGAGACGGGGAGCCTTCTCTCTGAGGCTGGCTTTCTCTTGGCCACAGAGAATGCGAAGGGGGAAACCCTGGAGCTCTTCCACTCGGTCCACAGCTGGCTGATGGTCCTCTACGAGAGGGACTGCCGGCGGCGTTTTGCTCCCGAAGAACACTGGCTGCGCAAGTGAGAGCTGCTCTCTTGCCGGGTTCCCTCCTTCGCCCGCCGGGGGAGGCTGGAGCCAGCCTCAGCTGGGGCTTTTGTTGCCCACCAATCCCATCCGCTGATTTTTCTGTGCGGTGTTTTTGTGTGTGTGTGTTGTATTGTTTAGGGACCTCAAGCCCAACTTGCTGTTCCAGGAGCTCGACAAAGATCGGAAGCGAGCCCAGCTGGTCCTGCAGTACATCCCTCACGTTGTCCCCCACAAAAATGTGTGTGGAAGCTAAGCCCGGGAGGGGGACAGGGGGTGGAGGGCGAGGAGCAGCGGGAGGTGACAGGCCAGGGCTGAGCGGTGGGAAGGCCCGGACCCTGAAGCAGACTCCGGTCCAGATGCAATTCAGTAGGAGTGAGACCAAGGCAGGAAGCCCCGCGGCCCTTGGGAGGGCTCTGCTAGTGGGTTCAACCCGGTTCTTTCCCCCAACATTTAGCGGGTTCTTCTCTTCCGGAATATGGTCACCAAAGAGAAAGAGCAGCTGGGCTTGGTGGAGACCAGCTCTGCGTCGCCTCACGTCACCCACATCACGATCCGTCGGTCCCGCATGCTGGAGGTGAGAGCGGAGCCGGCGTCCCTGGAGCGCTTTGAGGCGGAGGCGTCTTCCCTTCGCCTCCTGATCCCGGGGACCCTCTTGCCTCCCCCAGGATGGCTACGAGCAGCTGCGCCAGCTTTCCCAGAACGCCATGAAGGGCGTCATCCGGGTGAAGTTTGTGAACGACCTGGGCATGGACGAAGCGGGCATCGACCAGGACGGCGTCTTCAAGGAGTTCTTGGAGGAGATCATCAAGAAGGTCTTTGACCCAGCGCTCAACCTCTTCAAGGTAGCTGCTCCAGGGCTGGGATTTGGGGACGACCCGGGGGGACCCTGGCTTCAGCTTCTCAGCTCCCCCGCTCTGTTCCGGCACAGACCACCAGCGGGGACGAGAGGCTGTACCCGTCCCCCACTGCTTACATCCACGAGAACTTCCTGCAGCTCTTTGAGTTTGTCGGGAAGATGCTTGGAAAAGCTGTTTATGAGGTAGGCCAAGCTTCACAACCAGCGGGTCTTTCTGGATCACAGCTGCAGCCCTGCTCACCCAAACCAATGGGGGAAGATGAGGGCAGGGAAGAAGGGCACGCCGGCTGCCTTGGGGAAGGGGGGGGGGAATGCTGGTGGCTCTGCAGTTCTCCCTCAGCCTTCCCTCCCATCTCCTAGGGAGGGGTCCCTGGTGCTCTCTGTGCTTGCTTATTTTCTTGCAGGCGTTTCTTTACCCAGACTAGGAAGGGCTGTCGTTGCTGGCGATGAGGCAGCTAGTTGGGCAATTGCTCCTTTCAGCCTTGAGCTGCAAATGTTCTCCTCTTTTGGCCCCTTCCAGGGAATTGTGGTGGACGTTCCCTTTGCCTCGTTCTTCCTGAGCCAGTTGCTTGGCCATCACCACAGCGTCTTCTACAGCTCAGTGGACGAGCTTCCCTCCTTGGACTCCGAGTTCTATAAGAACCTGACCTCCATCAAGGTTCGCTCCCAATTCGTGTGGCCTGCCTTGGGTCCCGGGGCAGCTTCTGCGGGAATGCGAGAGGCCGCAGAGGGCAGGGAACAGCTAGGAAAGCCCCTTGTTGTTCCTCATCACGCACAACGGGGTGCAGCAAGGGACGTCCGGGAGGTGTTCAGCTGTGCCGGGGGTTCTGCCAGCAGCAGAATTTGCCTCTCTCTGGACTTGGCAGGATTTTTTGAGACTAAACCAGCCTGCGTGTCGGGCAAGTTCTGGTGACGCATTTTCCGGCACTCCTTAGCAACGCAGCTGCTTTCTCGTCCTTTTGCAGCGCTACGAAGGAGACACCAGCGACTTGGGCCTAACCCTCTCCTACGATGAAGATGTGATGGGCCAGGTAGGCTCAGGGGCCCCGCGAGAGGCACCCGCTTGTTAAAGGCTGTCGGCTGCCCGCTTGTCCCGTCCCCATTTCTGCAGTAGGGGCTAACCTCTTTCCTTCCTCCTCTCCAATTTTTGCTTTTCCAGCTTGTGTGCCACGAACTCGTTCCAGGAGGAAAGACCATCCCCGTGACCAACGAGAACAAGTAAGCCTGACTTTGCTTCGCCCCCAAAGGGCCTTCGGAAAGGCCTCTCTGGGGGGAGGGGAAGTGAGGCCAGAGCCCAGGGCTCAGCTTTGCTCCCCGTTGGCTTCCTCCCTCTGGCCAGGATCAGCTACATCCACCTGATGGCCCACTTCCGCATGCACACCCAGATCAAGAACCAGACGGCCGCTTTCATCAACGGCTTCCGGTCCATCATCAAGCCCGAGTGGATCCGTGTCTTCTCCGCACCTGAGTTGCAGCGGCTGATATCTGGAGACAATGCTGAGATCGACCTGGAGGACTTGAAGTAAGGCAGGGGCCGGGCCGGGCCTGCCGGTCCTCCCTGGGCCACTTGGGTTGCCCGAGCGGCCCAAGGAGGCTCCTTTTCATTAAGGAGGTGAAAGAGTTAAGAAGCTGCCATTCTTGGGATAAGAAAAGGCCAGCCGGCCTGGTTTTCCTCATAGCCTGGAAGCCTCATCCTCGGAGGCAGGCCGGGAGCGTGTCTGGGAGGCGCTGGGCCGTGTCCAGTTCCAGCAGGAGAGGGGCTGCAGAAGGGGTCTCTGGCCCTTTCCGGGGGGGGGGGGACAGAAAGCCAGGGATTCTGTTCCGCCTGACATGTTTGGTTCCCTCTCGCTTGTCTTCTAGGAAACACACCGTCTACTACGGGGGCTTCCATGGCAGCCACAGGGTCATCCTCTGGCTCTGGGACATCCTTGCCCACGATTTCAGCCCCGAGGAAAGAGCCATGTTTCTCAAGGTAAAGGCAGTCGTGTCGCACACCCAGGGCTCTGCCTGCACCGGTGCAGCGAGCAGGAAGAGCTCCGGTCCTGGGTGCCTTGTTGTAAGAAAGGCTGAGGGAACCAAACGGTGGTGGTGGCGGCATTCGTCTCCAGACTAAGAGCTACAGTCTCACCCCTGGGGGGAGTCTGTGGAGCAGCCCTCCTCTCCAGCGACATTGCTGTGCCCCACCTCCAGAGGCCCTTTGGCGAAGCCCCTTCGGCTCACGGGGGCAACTGCCCTCCCTTAGACACCCCTTCATTGCTCTGTTGTCTCTCAGTTTGTTACCAGTTGCTCCCGGCCGCCGCTCCTGGGCTTCGTCTACCTCAAGCCCCCCTTCTCCATCCGGTGCGTGGAAGTGTCGGACGACCAGGTGTGTGTGGCTGGTGGCAGGGCAGGGACGGTGCCTCCCGGGCTGGCATTCCTGGGCAAAGTGCAGCAAGCTGGTGTTCTGTGGGGCAAATCCAGAGCCCCTGGGCAGCCTGGCCTTGGGGGAAGGAAGGGCTGCCGGCATTCCTGGGGGAGCCTGGCTGGTCTGCCATGTTGCACTCTGCTCGTGGGATTGGGGTTCAACGTCTTTGGCTGGTAAACGGTCCCCCCTTCTGCCTCTCCCAGGACACAGGGGACACCCTGGGCAGCGTTCTGCGGGGCTTCTTCACTATCCGGAAGAAGGAACCGGGGGGGCGCCTGCCCACCTCCTCCACCTGCTTCAACCTCCTGAAGCTGCCCAACTACAGCAAGAAGAGTGTCCTGAGGGAGAAGCTGCGCTATGCCATCAGCATGAACACGGGCTTTGAGCTCTCGTAGCAGCCCTGGCGGGAGAGAAGGGACCAGGACCGGCTGGCCAGACAAGCAGCGCCCTCCCGGGGCCGTGGGAACTCCGGGGCCCTGCCCAGGTAGACAAGGAGCTGCCTCCAGCGTTGCTTAACTCCTCTGAGACCGCAGCTGGCCTGCCATTAAACGTAGCCTTGCCTGCAAACCTTGTGCAGTTACCCGTTGCGGGCAGGGGGTCCCTCGTGTTAAGGGCCACCCAGACTGCTGCAGGGGGCTGGGCGGCTGTTCTTGCCATCTTGCTCTCTTCCCCTGCATTGCTGAGACCCTCCCATCTGTCCTGGTCAAACTTCCCAACTGCCCTGGGCAGACCCTTCCAGGGCACTCTCGTAAGGAGCCACCTGGGCCGGGCTCTGTCCATGGCATCCGAGGCCTGGCTTGATCAGAGGAGAGATTTGAGTTGGAATCTGTTCCTTGCTGATCGTGCAAGGCTGGTTTTACCTCTTGACCCGAAAGTGGGAGACCTTGTTCAGCCAGTTTTGTTATCTTAAACTGCTGGCCAAACTAGTTTGGCTTTGAATCAACTTTTCTCCAAAGGCCCCCGGGCCCTCCCCAACAAGGAACAGGTAACTGTTTCCAGCTTACTGCCACAGCTGTCCCTACGCAGCCTCTAGTTGCGGGACTGGAATCCACCGGTCGGCCGTCGGTGACCAAGACACAGGGCAGCCCGTCTCCCTTGGGTACCAAGAGGTCCTTTGACCAACCTCCCTGTGGGAAGGCCTGGCCCAGAAGGTGCACTCGGGCTGAGGGGCAATCAGTGGGGTCCCTCTGACCCTTTTAAGCCCCAAGAACTGGCAGGTCTGCAGAAGTGAGGGGGAATCTGCTGGGCAGACCAGGGCGGTCCTGTGGCAGTTCTCTCAGGGACTTTGTTTTTTTGAAATTTAGTTTGGCTGCTTGTTAAAGGAAGCACTAATGGCATGTGGCTGCAGATGGGTGTAGACCAGGGGGGCTCCCAAGTTGGCAACGTTTAAGACTTGTGCAACTCCCAGAATTCTCCAGCATAGCATAGCTGGCTGGGGAATTCTGGGAGTTGAAGTCCACAAGTCTTAAACGTTGCCAACTTTGGAGAGCCCTAGTCTAGACTGAAGCAGGTGTTTGCACCAGCCATTTGTCGCTCCCAAACCCCACAGAATGACCTTGCAGCCTGGGGAGGTTCTGCTGCCTGTGGATCTGGTTGCACTGGTCTTTCCCAGGAGGGCGTGTGCATGTGTGTATGTACAAATGAGTATTTTGAGCAAACACAACATGCGGATCAAGAAAGGCTACCCAGTGTTTGTCTATCTTTTAAAATAAATGGGATGGATCTGTCCATAGGAAAACATCTCTCACTCCCAGTCCGGCTATATATTAAGTGGCGATTTCCCACAGGGGTCTGCAGCTCAGCATGTCCAGGACCTAATTATGGCCCTGCTCCCAGGTAGCTGTACTGCTTGTGTGAGTCTGATTATTTTAGAAAGACATATTATAAATCTCAAGCGTGTCACCCTTTTGCACAAATGTTGTGAAATATGAAGAGTTGGTTTGTAACAAACTAAAACAGGACAAGGTATTTTGGGAATGTTGCTTTTATTAAGTCCAGTTTTTTTTAAATTTCAGAACAGTGCTACTGCCTTGAAACACCTCTCCCCCCCCCCAATTAAGGGCTGGGCCCAAACAGGTTCATAAGTAAGGAGCTGTTCTGGATGCTGGCTCACCCCGTTTCCTTCCTGATTTTCCGTTAGGGATTGTGGGGTGTTGACCTGTGGCCGCTGCCGCAGGCTGCCCAGAGAGCTGTTTCAAATTGCCCTCTTGGAGGGGGGGGGTGCGGCCTCTCCACTTCTGGTGCCCTCCCACCCACTGGGATGCAGGAGTGGACAGTCCCAACAAGCCTGGCATTGCTTCCCACAGCCTTCAGGGCGCAAACGCAGAGACCCCCACGGATTGTCTGGGTGTTTGTGTCACCTGGAGATCCTTCAGCAGGAACCTCAGAAGCCGTTGCTTTTCTCCTCTCCCCAGCACTGCCCTGCATGCGTGTTTTCCGAGGAGAGACTTTTGGCATAGGAAATCAATAAATTATTTTGCTCTTTTACCACTTAGTATTTTTTTAGTTACAGCACATTCTTCTCACTGGAAATTCAGGAATACAGGAAATAAAAGTTGAAAAATTGGTTGAATGCGGTCGCTTTTCTTTTTTCAAAATGCATGACTGGCAGAGAACGGAAGCCATGTGCCGCTGAAAGAGCTCAGCGTCAGGCTCAATTCCGGCACGTTTGCCGACAGCGTCCCTCCCTCAAAAGTTGCGCTTTTCAAGACTGTTGACAAGATGTGTCGGTGGACTTGGCTGAGGGAAGAAATCCAGACCCTCCCTCATTTTGATCGAAGGAAACTGGCAGGCAGGGCCACGCTAGCTGGAGCCAGCGGGACTGAACTAAACCGCCTGCCTCAGTTCCCTTCAGTGTTCCAAGATGCAACAAAGGCACCTTCAGGCATCACAGTTGCTCTGAATTCACGTACGCAAGCTGGACTCCCAATAACATGGTCAGAAACCTGAATTTCTGTGGGTTTCTGTTGACATTCCAGGTGGAGATCTGAGCATTTCAAATTTCCAGCGTTTTACACTTCATCTTGTTAGTTCAAACGTTGTACACCTCATGCATTGGTGAGCTTAGTCTTGGAGTTCCACCCGTCTGTAGATTTTCTCCTCCTTCCCTTCCTGCTTTGCGGCGAAACGGGCCAAGACGAACAGATAGTCGCTCAGCCTGGATACAGGGAAGAAAAGAATCACTCTCCATCTGTGGGCAGCAGGCCTCGTTTGCCTCTTTAAACACACAGATCCAAGTTACCTGTTTAAATACTTGGCCACGTTTGCATCCGCTTCTCCCGCTTTCACCAAAGGAACGACACTGTGAAGGCATAAGGAGACAAAGGCCCAAACATCATGATAATACAAATCAACTGAAGTTTACAAAAGGAAAACTTTAGTGAGCGTCCAGATCAGGAATCCTGCTGACACAACTCTGTCCCTGCCCTACCTCAAACACAGATGTCTTAATTGGTGAGTTTTGTTTGGACAGGGACAATTTAGGTGATGGCTTCCTCTGTCTCTCCCACGGCGGCATTAATTCTAAACCCACAAATCCAGCAAGGGTCTCCTGAAGCACTTTTTAGATGCTTCCCATGTGCCTTTACTCTAAAACCTGCCTCCGGGGTCTTGCCGACAGAACAGACCCGTCCCTTACCGCCTCTCGGCTCTGCGACACACGGCTCGGGAGAGATGGAGCACAGCGCTGCTTTTTCCACCAGACTGAAATGATACAAGCACAAGACGCACAAAAGTCAATTTGCTTGGCTCAAGATCATAAGGTTTAGTGGCTCACTAAGGAAGACCCCAGTGGCTGCCTGTCCTTTTTTTTTTTTTTAACGTAGGATGCAAAGGCATGGTGATCCTGGCAGGAAAGGGTTTCTAGAGGTCTAAGTCCAGTGATTATATCCTGACTCCAGGACTGCACACAAGGATCTTACCGGTAAAATGAAGGACGTGAGCGGTGGAAGCTGATCTGAGTATTTGTCTATCCAGCTTTCCAACTCCAGCACAGGTTTCTCACTGAAGGATGTTCGCCCTGAAGAGGAGGAGGCCAGTCACACAAGGTGGGCCTGGAGGAAAGCCACTGGCTGAAGGCCTTGGCAAAGCCTCAAGCCCCTTGGAACATGTGCAGAGCGTTTTCCCCTCTCCCACGGAGAGTCCTGCATTTATCTGCCAAGCCTGACTCCCAGGTGTCAAATCAAAAGCAGGCTGCCCTCACCCGGGGACCCTGCAAGCCTCTGAATTTCAAGGAAGAAAAGTGGGCTGTCAATGCAATCAATGAAACATCCCACAGGAGTTGTCTAGCTATCACCTCTCAGCAGAAAGGAGAGGCAACTCGTTTGAAAAGCATCTTCCTTACAAACCTTCAGCTTCGCAGAGTCCTACTTACTTATGTGAGACTCCCTGGCTGAAGAGATGGGCGTTGCCACATTAGAGCCGGCATCTTGCAGCACACACTGGACCTAAGAGGGGAAGTGTCAAGACAACACATTTGGAACAAAGAAAGGTGGCATCACCTGGAAGGCAGTCAAGCCTCTGTTTTAATCCGGTTATGCACCTCTCAGAATAAGGACTAACAGCTTGGCTCAGATGGAAAGGATGATTTCTAACAGGTTTTACATGGTCAACTAGAGCAGAGCCAATTTATTTCTCACCTTGTGAAGTTCTTCCACAAACGTGTGGCCACTTTCGCTGCCAAATTCAGCACTTAAGCTGCAGCAAAAAATAAAAATGGACTCGGTCTCCAGTTGTGACTCCCCCCTCTGCTATGGAAAGTAATATGTAAGAACTATTAAGCCAGTCTCAAATCTATGGAACTGCCACATTAAAAAAAAAATTATAGAGTTGGTGTGCTCCGAGAATGCCGGTTACTTTTAGATTATTGCTTTGCAAGATTTGCATTTCTAATTCAAAGCCAAATGTTGCCTACTTCTGCCCAAAGTGCAAAGCCCCAATTGCTGACCGGCAACCAAGAATACTTGATGGGAGCAGAAGGAGGCAACACCTTTATCTGAAATATTTTGGCATAGAGGCTGAAATCAGTCTTGCAATTACCCTATAGCCGAACTCAGTTCATCCAGGGTTCCCAAAGCATCGAAGACCTGATCATCTTTGGCTCTCCTCTCCCCGGTGAAGGTGCTGGAAAACCCTTTAAATCCAACAAAAGACAGGAAGTGGGGAGTCGGCTGAGAAAGGGAGGCCCCGGGGCTTACTAAGGCCAGGGGCCCTCCTGCTTAATTATTGTGCAATCGCGAGTTGGGGGGGGGCTACCTTTGTCTCCCGTCTTGGTGTAGATCTTGGGAGCTCCGCTGCTTTTCTCGGGCTGGGAATCCGGCCTGCGGGAAAGGGAAGACGGGGCGGGGGAAGAAGGCAGCGATCTCAGGGGAAAAGGGCGGCCCGGCTTGGGGGTCCCGCAAAATCCTTTTCCCCCCTACCCCCCGTGATGCAACCCGGCCGTGCTGCCACCGACCCTCCCCACGCATTTCGCGAAATCCGCGTCTCGGGCTGCGAACGTGCCCCGCGCCCGCCCGGCTGGAACCTCGCCGCGGACCCCGCGCGCGTCCTCACCCGGGCTCCGGCTCTCGACCGGCTGCCCGGCTCCTCGCCCCGCAGCGGGCAGCCGCCACCCGCCCCAGGAGGGCTCGCCCGCCCCACCAGCCCGCCCCAGCCATGTCCGGGGGACGAGGACGAAGCGCCCCGACAAGTTTGTCCCTTCTCGGCGGCCGTAGTAGCCGCCGCCGGCTTTCGATTGGACGCGCGTGTTGCGAGGAGTGGCCAATCGGGGGAAGGAAAGTTGGCGCTACTATAGTCCGATTGGGCGGGAGCGGCGTATCGGCCACGCCCCTTCGGAATGATCGCCTCACCTGGAGCGGCGGTAGGGACAGGTGAGGGTCTCCCCGCCGGCCCAGCATGCATTGCGCGGAAAGACCCCCCCCCCACCTCCACCCCGAGGGAGAAAGGTAGAGTGCCTCGGGCCGAGGAGGCTCAGGGGCCCCGAGTGGAGCGGCGGGGGGGGGCGGTGAGCGGCGGCCTCTGTGCCCCCCTTGGACGGACGGCGCGTTTCTCTCAGCAGGGAGGCGATGTGGAAGCGGAGCCTGGTGGTTTCCGCCCCGGGGAAGGTGATCCTGCACGGCGAGCATGCCGTGGTGCACGGGAAGGTAGGGTCGCGCTCGCCCCGGAGGGCCCCCACCGCCTGCGGGGTCCTGGCCGGCTTGTGCTCTGCGCCCCAAGGGGCGGTAAAGGCCGGGCGCTGACAGTCAGCCAGCCGAGGGAGGAGGAGGGCCTTCTCCTACTTTTCAGTACTTTGTCCATTATTCATTTAATTAGTTAAATAATTAGCCCCAGAATGATCACCAAGGACTAACACCTTGCGGCTTTCCTCCGATGCTCCCGGCCGCAGGTGGCTCTGGCGACTGCCCTGGACTTGCGAACTTTCCTTCGGATGACTCCGCGCCAGGATGGGAAGCTCTCCCTGCAGTTGCCTAACCTCGGGAGCAGATCGAGCTGGGAGGCTGCTGAGCTCCAGCCCCTGCTGGCAGCGCTTTCAGGTAGGCCCAAGACGCCTTGCGGACTTCTACCTTCCTGCCCTCCACCCGGATCCAGATCAGCTGTCGGGGAAGGGGCTGGTTTGCATCCAGAAAAGCAGCAAGGGGCAGCCTCTCATCCTCCTCTCCTGCTGTCCTCAGTCTACGATGTTTCACTTTCTTTGCGGAGCTCCAAAAATCAGCTTTATCTTAAAGCTTTTGGTTTGTGGCCCCAGAGAACAGTGCACAGGGCTAGGTTTTCCATTGACTCCTGGGCCTGTTAACTCCCTTTGCGAGCCTCTCAACGATTTCATGAGAGCATCTGATCGTCTTTACCTTACAATCGGGCTGCATGTTTTCAAAATTGTATCAGTCAAACTCTGTCCCTAGAGAAACTGATCTGTGACTTGTCACTGGTGTTACCCTGATCCATTTGAAATAATTAGAAAGGGTTGTTCAAAGATACTGAAGGAAGTGTTTCGCCTCCCTTTCCGGGCATAGAAGGTGATATCTCCTGCTGTTTGTTCTCTCCTCAGCTGAACTATCTGAAGCGCAGCCGCCCAGCACCGAACAAGTGGAGAAGCTGAAAGCGTTTGCGGGGGGCGATAACGGACACGAAGCAGTCCAGACTGTAGCTGCTGCAGCCTTTCTTTATTTGTACTTATCTGTGGCATCTAAATATGGGTAAGAGTAGGGGTCTCACCTTTGCTGTGTGGCTCTTTTGCTCCTGGCAGTCAGGATTGCCAAACCTGTCTTGCCAATTTCCACATGAAGAATTTGGAGGCGTTGATTGAGGGTGTGGAGCTACCCTGCCCTCCTCTGGGAATGTCAGGAGGGTTTAGTGAATGTGTAGATGCCTGTTAATAGAGATCCTAAAGAACATGCAGTACAAGATAGATCGGGGTACAGTATACTAAGGCTGACAGTGAAAGACAACAGAGGAAAAATAATGTTTTATTATTGCATGAATTTAAAATCAGGCTGCAGATTATATCTACTTTAAAAAACTTCAGGAAACTAGGAGTGGGCAACCTATAACACTTCTTACAGACTAATTGTTTCTAAGGCACCACATCTAGAAAAGCACAGGAGAAAATAAGCAAAGGAAAAACTGGTTCTGTGGTCTTACTCTTTCTGTAAGCCTGTTGTGACTCATCATGAAACATGCAGAGACTATTTAATTCTGCTCAGTGTGAGGAAAGTAAGGAGTGAAATTGCAAAACTTAATTTTTGCCGTGTTCTTATCTTTCAGGGTTCTGCCATCTGTCGACATCTTGGTCTGGTCTGAGCTGCCCACCGGCGCTGGGTTAGGCTCCAGTGCAGCGTACTCGGTCTGCCTGGCAGGGGCCTTGCTTTCTGGAAGCGGCGCCATCAGCTACCCTCTACAGGAGGGCCAAGAAGTAGCTAGGTAGGAAGTGGGAAAGAGAGGAGCTGGGAAATGGTTTCCACCTGTCCAGGTAGGACTGGGCATGTGTTATGGCAGCTTTTTGTCATTTTAAAGCTCTCCATTTGTTGCTCAAGGAGAGGATTCCAGTTCTAGGGACCCAGGTGCAGTTTTCAGCCTGTCCAGTTTAAAGGACCAGAAGCAGCAGGTCAAAGGAGGGCCAGGAGGGCTGCTAAAAGGGGGTGGGGACAGGCTGATCTCGACTGAGGCCTCTTCTGCTCTTCCAGATGGACCGAGGAGGAGCTGGACATGATCAACAGATTGGCCTTCCGAGGAGAGCAAGTGATCCACGGGAATCCTTCTGGAGTGGACAATGCTGTGAGCACATGGGGTTGGTGTTCTCTTTCCTTCTTGTGCATTTCTGAACTAGCTCAGGCGCAGTAAGGGGATTTTGCCCCTCTCTTAAGTGCTGTACTGGCTGCCGAAGAGAGCCACCTTAAATGTTCCTTATGATTCCAGGAAGGGATTTTGGCTCCAGTAGGCCCCAGGGCCTCCTTTCTCTTGGTTCGTGATAAAGGAATAAATGGCCAGATGTTTTTCTCTTGCTAGTTCAGGTGAAATTGAGCAATTTTGCAGAATATGGAAAGAGGAAACTTCCCGGGGAATTGTTATTTTTTCCTTCTTTCCCAAACGTTTAGGTGGAGCCTTGCGGTATATTTCAGGAAAAATCTCTGCACTGAAAAGGTGAGGTTCATTTGAGCATCAATGTTCAGTTTTAACAAGAATTGGTGGCTTTATAAAATCATTTTTTAAGATTGAGTTGTATTTTTAGCATGATCGTATGTCTTGGTATTTCCTTCATGAAAAGATAGTTTTCTTCAATGTTTTGACTTACAGAATGATCAGTGTGTTAAAAAGCTTTGATTTAAAAACACTGAAAAGCCTTGATAGGCTGATTAATTTCTTTAGGCAGAAGGGCAGAGCCCAGCAGCCTTCCACGGATCTCACTCTGGGTCCGAGGTCCCATGTTGCCAAGGCTGCCTTCGGCAAGCAGGGATCCCATCGGAGAGTTTGCCTGCTGAATGTTGCCAGGGCTCAGAAAAGAGATTGCCGGAGAGGCCTCGGCAGCAGCTCCCCCTCCCTCCCCCTGCTTTCCGCCAGCTTGGCCTAATCGGACTTCATTAGAATCTTTCGCAGGGCGTGAAATTGCTCCATTAGCAGCTAATGTTAGACACCAGTTATTCTGTTGGCAGTTATTAAAAAACAAAGTTATTTTGGGTTGGAAAATGTGGGCCTTGGTTGGGTCTTTCGGAGAACGCTTAGGACACGCCAAGCTAATTCTGACTAAAGCGTGGCTCTAATTGGCGATTAAGCTCAGCTAGTGACGGTCCCTTTCTGGAGCGACACTGGCTGGGCGGCATTCGCAGAAGTGAAGGCTACCAGGTGCTTCAGTCATCCTGGGGAGGGGGACGATGGGGCTTGTAATTCCAGATGCCTGCAGTGGAGATGCTTGTGGAAAAAGACAAGAGGCAAAATCCTCAACCCTGTCCCAGGCTGCGAACTTCCAGGTCCTATAGGGAAAATAAAAGGCAAAACTTCCTCCTTTGGCTGTGCCTGATGGGTCTGCATTCTTAGTTATTGCATAGCAATTTGCAGACTGTTGAATTGATTTTTAAGAGTCTTTTTCTTTACAGGGTGCCCACTTTACGGATTTTACTGACTAACAGTAAAGTTCCACGCAGCACCAAGATCCTGGTTGTGGGGGTTAAAGACAAGCTCCTAAAGGTACCTGTTCTTCTGGTTCCTCTCCGAGGCTTTGTGACCGCCTAGAATTTATAGCTGATGATATGTCAAAATACGTTAAGGTTTGGAGAGAATGATCTGGAGAGGGGCGGTAGAAGAAGCACAGCTTGGCGGAGTGTCAGTAAGCAGGAGACAGCTGCTGTGTTTCAGGTTGTTTGAGATGGTCACCAAGAGTTCTTTAAAACAGGATTGCTTGGGTCTCTGACCCTTGACCTTCTGGGCATCATTTTAGCCAAATATTCTTTGCAGCTCTGCCTAAATAGGCCATTCATGAGGGTCCCTTTCTTGCTAACTTTAATAGAAGCGGGTGTTTTTTAAAAAGTAAATCCTATAACCCTGCCAAGATAGCTTAAATACTAATAAGACTTCTTTCAGATTCTTTATGCTTTTTATTTTTGCTGTCCCCCCCCCATTCTTCCCTGTCCCCTGGCCCATCATTTTTCCTCCTGCAGTTTCCCACTATCATGGAGCCTATGCTCACTTCCATAGACGCAATTTCTCGGGAATGTGAAGGTATTCTTGAGGCAATGACTGAAGAGCCATTGCAGGAACACTACTCCAGGCTGGAGGTAAGCCCTTATCTCTATTCCTTCCTTTGTCCTCATACCATTAGGACCCCGCTTTTAAAAAAGAAAAAAAAACAAGCTAAGGTTTTTTTGCCACACTCAGTTCTGTCCGAAGCATGTTCCCTCCTTGAGCTACACACGTCTTTTCTCATCCGTGTCTCTGCTTTTTTTTTCAGGACTTGGTGGACATCAACCAGCATCTCCTCAATGGCATCGGGGTTGGCCACTCCCTGCTGGACCGCATCTGCCAGGTCACTTCCTCCCATGGGCTGCATAGCAAACTGACCGGGGCTGGGGGAGGCGGCTGCGCCATCACTTTGCTGCGACCAGGTGAGTCCTCCCCAGCTGGCTTTTGTCTTCCTTTGCCCAGGCTTCCTTCTTGCTCTTGAATTCTCTGTTGACTGTGGGTAGGTTGAGTTCATAATCAAGCGTGTAAGTGAAGGAGCCCTACAGATGTGTTGCAGTATGGCTGTTGGGGGCACGTTGGCTTTCAGCTGTGGGTGCTGCTTTCAGTGGCTTATGAGTCTCCTTTAGAGGAGTGCTTCTCCACCTTGGCAACTTTAAGACCTGTGGACTTCGATTCCCAGAATTCCCAGCCAGGATAGTTGTCAAAGTTGAGAAACACTTCTTTAGGGGATAGATGACTCTATTGTGAAGCATCAGTGAATGCCACACTAGCATAAACCATGCTTAAATTCTACTTGAATGCTGCTGAGGCATAACTCAGAGCACCTTCCTGCACGCTGCTCCTTAAAAGCACCTGTCTAGGTGGCTTTCGCTGTTTGTGTGAGATGCAAACTCAGCGTTGGCTGTTCGCACCTGTTCCCGTCCTCCTCTGCCTGCATGCGTGGCTCTTTGGTTCCACTTCCTTTGGCTGCAGCTTCTGGGCACCGGTCGTTCTCAACTGCTTGGTAACCAAGTCTGCTGTTTGGGTGTCTAACTGGGAGGGCACCATCTCTTGGCAGGCACCGCTCCTTCGGCAGTGGAAGGCGCCATCCGAGACCTGACCCGCTGCGGGTTTGAGTGCTGGGAGACGGTCATTGGGGCGCCTGGCGTGAGCGCACACAGCCTGCCGGGCCTGAAAGTGGAAGCGCAGAAGGCTTTGACGGGCAGCTGACGGTGGCCATGAAGACCGAGTCTTCCTCCGCCTGGGACCTGCCCTGACTTGGAGGGGACATCCAGGCGACATCCAAGGCGGCCTGGCGGGACTCGGCTGGTCAGTTTGGGAAGGGGGCAGGTCTACTCTGCGGGAGTGGGGGCTGCAGAAGCACCAGGGGGCCGAGGGGCAGGTAGCCGTGGTCTTCCTAGCCCCTCCCCTGCCGTTGACTTGACTCTACTGCTAACAGAGGGGTCTTTGGGCACACTTGTGTAAATCCTTCCTTGCACCTTTTGCACACTGCCAGGTCTCCTGAACTCGCTCCTTAGCGGCTTTCCCATAATACCAAGCTCCTCTTAGCCCTCCCCCCAATTGACGAGGCCTGGCAAGTTTGCTTTGGGAATGTGAGCTATTAACTGTCTCTCTTCTGATTTGCCTCTAATTTTTAATGCTGCCTGGGAAATATTCCGAACAGGGCATTGTTGCGTTCCCTGGCCTGTGGGTGGGTGGGGGTGCAGGTTCCCCCGTTAATGAGGTGCTCAGTGGCTTGAAAGCAAACGGAAAAGGTGGCTTTTAAATCGCCTTGTAACAGGCATGTTTCTCTCAGGGCTGGGTTTTTTTTCCTTAATTGTATTTGGTCAGTTAATCAACTGGAGCCTTGGGCCCCAATGGGGTTGCCAGGGATGCCCTTTTCGGGGTTCTGAATAAAGGCTGGTTTTAAAGATGGCTCTTCTGACCACAGCTTTTGTGTCGGGGCTTCCTTCAGTCCTGGGCTGCAGGGTCTTCCCAGCAACAGCCACTGTGGGGGGTCCTGCAACTGCTCTGAGCGAGGTTTCTCAGTGGGCGCAGATCCTTTTCTGAACAGCAGAGGGCGTCAGAGACCGACTTACTGTGGGAGCTGCAGTTGGGGGGCTCTCTTGATTTTGGGTGGTGGGTGAGGGCAGCTCCTCCCCATGGCCAACAGGGTCCCACCCCTGAAGCAGAGACCGGCCAGCTGGCTGGGAGGGTCTCCGCTGGTTCTCTCGGGCAGGGAAGTGACTGTTCTTGCAGCTCGGCAGGGCCAGTTTTTCTCAAGCGTCACTCTTCACCTGGGGAGCTTTGCGGAGGGAAGACTCGCGATTCTCCCCATTGGTTCCTAATGGCCAGAGCAGCCCAGAAAGGCGGGAGAGCAAAAGGACCGTGAAGGAGCAGCGGAGAGCCGGCCTCACCTCCGGGAGGGAAACGCTGGCAGAGCCAGGCCGGGTTTGGCACTCCCTGGCAGAGATCAATTGTGCAGGGATGTAGGAATGTGGATCAGTGAGACCATCTGCTCTGGAAAGCTAAACAGGTGCACTTAAAGGGCTGAAAGCCTTCTACTCTCCGGTCGGTCTCTTCTGGACCGGCAGGTTGCCCAGCGCTCCGAGGCCAGCAGCCGGGAAGAGAAGCCAAAGCATTGCCATTAACCGTGAGGCTATTTATACCCTTCCCAATGATTTGCTCAGCTACTTTAAAAATGCATAACCTTCCTTTCGGTTTAAAGGTAATTTTCAGCTACGTGCCAATAAAAGCATCAAAAGTGTAAAAAAAAAAATGTTGACCCTGTAGCACTGAATAATTGAGCAACAGGCTGGTAAAGAGAGTTGTATTAAAATCAGTCTTAACTCTTAATGAACAAGCTGGGCAAATGACGTTGTTTTTACATAACCTGTGAAACCATGCTCCACTGCCAAGAGGATGGGGGAGCAGTCTTCCTCCTCCGGCATAAGCTGGCTGGACTGGGGGGGGGGGCGCAGCCCATCTGGTTGTACCGGCTGAGTTGTTTTCTGTCCTGCTGGGACTCAGACCAGAGCAGCCCGGCACAGGGGTGCTGCTCTGCTCCTCGTCCTGCCCCTTCTTGGGGTCGGTTTCTAGCAACCTTTGGGGGCCCTTCCTGCCTTGGGCCTCACCGCAGCACCCTCCCTACCCTTTCAACCCTGGTGGGGGGGTCCCTTCTGCCTTCCCCCGAAGTGGCAGGTGTGGGAGAGCCAGGCTGGGCAGCGCAGATGGTTTTATGCTCAACGTCAGCAGCGGCTGCTTTCCGCTCGGTTGAATAGATGCTTGGGAGACAATGGCGTTGGGGAGATAAGAGGAGAAAAAAGGGGTCAGGATAGAAAATGTCAAAGCAGGAACTGAAAAGCAGGCCGCTCTCTAAGATCCGAGGGAGGCTGGCCGAGAGAGTGTGGCCCCCTCCCAAAGCAGCAGTTTGTTCTCTATTTCTTAATCCTGCTTTGGGGGGGGGAGGGAAAACGGCCCCATCAGTGGAAAACAATGTCTGGGCTGACACTTTGCATCAAGCCTTAATTGCCTGACTTTGTACACACACTTAAGCCACAATTTACAAGCTGCAGTGGCTGGTTCACTGTCTACCCTCTGAGCCAAAGCCCACCCAGCTACTTAGGGCTTAGCTTTGAGAGTTGGTCAGGATTTTCCACCGCGGAGCAGAACAGAAATGGGTCACCCTCACCCAAAACTCACTTCTGGAACCCTTCTAGGGGGCCTGATCCACCTGGTCCCCAGAGTGGAAGGACCTGCGACTCTTAACTTTAAGAGTGTGAAATTTTGGTCAGAGCCAAGTTAATAAAGATCAGCTCTAGGACAAGGTGCCCTCTAAAACAGCTGGGCACGGTCCCGGGAGATGACTTGCCATTTACTCCCTTGTCAGAGTGTTTCCTTCAAGGGCCAAGATCCGGCAAAGGAGGAAAGGCCACATTACAGGATCCAAGTCTCTGCCCCCCCCCCACCACAGGGAGCCTCCCTTAGATGGAGCCCCTGGGTCTGGGAAGCCCACCCTCCGCCCCAGATGACCTCAAAGCTCTCCAGGGGGGAAGAAGCCACGTGGCCCAGTTGTCCACCAGGGTCTTGCCCAGATGCCTGGAATTAGCTGTGCCGCCTTGAGGTGCAGTGAGAGCAGAATTGGGTGTCATCAGGCAGCACCGCCAATAATTGTTGAGGGTGTGTAAATGTTTGCTGAGAGCCTGTGAATTTCTGCATCTTTTTGACAAGGGGACCGCTTTGGGCAGACGCTCACTCTACAGTTGGGGGGGTGAGATGGGCCTGGCCTTCCTTCACCCAGCGTGGAAGGGCACCCGTGGCAGCCTGTTACTCCGTGATGGATTTAAGGCATGAATCCCCTCCCAGGAGCCCCCCATGGCACCGTGAAGGTTTTGAAAGTTAAGTATTACTGTCGGCTTTGTTGTTGCCGAACTACGACAGACAAATTGAGAACTAGTTGTCAAAATGTCAGTGCACAACAAATCAACATTCAAAATGAGTCTCGGTGCAATGTGGTGTGTAATTAAAAAAAAATCCTTTTTAGAAATTTCGGCAAGCATTGGCTTGGCTTTATATTTGTCTGTGTGATTAATAAAGGCAGCTAATTTTCAGACTTTAAAAACCGCTAGAAAATAGCTCCTAATTACATATTAGGCTCCGAACGTTCCCCGCTGTGCTCGGCTGGTATTGGTGGGCCAGGGATTTTGGCAGGGGCTTAATTACATTCTGAGAGCTTCATCTAATTTTAGTTAAACGTAATGTAATCAGCAGCAGATGTCTTGAAATAAAATATGAATTATGAATATGAAGAAATTCCTTTAAATAATTCTTTAAAAAATAATTTGCCATTGAGTTTTCTCCAAAGCGGCACAGAGCTCAGCTGGAACAGGTTGGAGGCTAGGAAGTGGGGTTCAATTACCGGGGGGGGGGCCTGGGGACTTCAAGGTTGAGTAGGAGGCACGGAGGGCAAACCAGCAGTGCCACCGGACAGATGTTTCTGGGGGGGGCATCCAAGGGAGATTAAATGTCGTTGCACCGCCGGGTCAGCTGGATTTCAAAGCAGGTCAGGTTTCTTGGGTTGCTGAGTTAGCGTTCTGTGACATCCATCCTCGGCTTTATTGAGTTTTCCAAGCAATTTGGGGGTCCTGCCACTCCTGAGGGAGCCTCTCCACCTCCGCCTCCCCCTCCTGCAACAGCCTGAGATCAGCTTAAATCTCAGCGTATATTGCATTTTTCTGCTGACGCCATCAGGATTGTGTGTTTGCATCCCTGTCTTTTTGCTGTCTTTGAAACCCGGCGCCCCGAGTGGGCTTTGGGACTGGAGAGGCATCGCTGCGCTCTCAGGCTTAGAGCATAACCTTAAGGCTTCTTCGCTTTGCAAAAGAGTACTTGCAGATGTGTTCGGAGTGAAGGAAGGGAGAGTCCTTCAGGGTTGGTGTGATGCTGGGAGGCTGCCCAAAGAGTCGTGAAAAGTGAGAAAAGGTCCGTGGCCAGCCGGGGCTCACCTTGGTGGTAGAGCTGCCCCTCATTTGGAGGATGGTAAGGAAACTGGGGCGAGCTAGCCTTCCTGCCGGGTCGGGGGCTCCCTGTGCTGCCCACCCTGCCCGTCCCTCGTGGGGCCACCTGGGCCTCCGAGAGGCCCCCGCCAGAGCAGGCCAAGGCCTCCAGCCGATGCCGCGCGACTGCATTTCAATCTGGCTTTGCCCAGGCTCCCCCTTCCCCGCCTGGGTTAGCAGCCCCGGCTATTCAATTCATCAAGGGAGTGACAGCTAAAATTCATTTGAAGATGAAGAAAATGCAGGCTAATCCTTTCTGGGAGACATTGATAGACTAGCGGCCGGGGAAGAATTGCACAGCAGTAATGAAATTAGGCTAAAACTACTGGTGGATAACAGATAATTGCCCTTGTCTGTCATCAGGAATAACATCTCCCCAAATGCAGCAACACGAGGACGGGGGACGTTGAAGAAGCACATTTATTTCTCTGATTCACCTTCCGCCTCCTTCAGGAAAGCAGGGACTCCCTCTCCGCCCTTCTTGGGCGCCTCAGGATTAGCCGTGGGCTCCTCTCCCTTTTCGGCTGCACGTGGATCCTTTCCTCACATGTTGCTGATCTCCCCTGAAAGGTGAACCAGGATGGATGGTACCTACGCTGCCAGGCGAACCGAGGAGGGGAGAGGCTCCCGGCTCCAAGGGCTGGAGAAAGGGGCTGCCGCTCGCCCGGGCGCTGTGCTGCTGGGGGAGCAGATGGTCCCGGCTGCCAGCCCCTATCTCAGGGCTAGGGATGATGGGCTGGGAAAACCAGGCTCTCCCACTAAGGAAAGGAAGCTCTGCTGATCCTACACCTGTGCTGGGATCCTTCAGCCACAATCTGCACTAGGGCAGGTGATCTGTCAGCGAAAGCAGCCCAGCAGTTCGCGGGATCAAGTTCCTTCTGGAAGTGGAAACTGAAACTGCTATCAGGGCCCAACTTGATGCTCCAAATATTTGCTCCAGGGCATAAATTGCCCCGTAGTCCTGCAGAGTCTCCAGCAGCAGCAGTTGTGACTCCAGGCTTGGAGTGACCAGCAGCCGTTTGTCGGCTGATTTACCGCCAGAGGCAGAGAGGCTGGTGAGGGAGCACGCGGGCCGGCCAGCGCAGGAATGGTTTATGTGCCCGGGCCAGTGGGTGTAATTTACTGCGGACAGTGAAGGAATATTTCACTTCCTGTCATGCGGATGAACATTACTTGTGTTTGAAATCGCCCGAGTACATGGTGGAGTCCACTTAAGCAGCTCCACTCGGCTGAGCTGGGATGATGCCCTCCTGCCTGGCTCGGCCCCTCAGGTTAGGCAGTGGGTGAGCCGAGAAGGAGGCCCCCCCCCCAGCTGCTTTCGGTGCCCACGTGAACTGGCCTCTTCTGAGAATTGGCATGTGCTGCTACCTCTGAAGTTGCAGCAGGAGACGGCCTGGCTGAGCACGTGGCATCTCAGCCCCAGCTGATGCTGGAGAGAACCTCCAGCTCAGAGGCAGCCGTCTGAATTCCAGGTGAACGTCTATACCTCCTCTTGGGGGGCTTTACCTCTGCTTGTATCTTTCCTCTGATTTGTAAAGGACCTCCAAAGGGAGAGAGCCCTTTGTGGCTGGCATGGCTCTGCTTTCCCAGCCTCTGGACACCGCCCAGCGGTCAAAGGGCAGGAGAGGCCAGGGAAGGCTGCGCCATCTGCTTCTCCCCCAAAGAGCCTCTGAAAGGGCCGGGCTGGGCTGGTGCACTGGCAGCTCTGCTGGGATGGCCTCCTGCACCAGGCCCTCCAGAACCAGCTGGTCTTGCAGCTCTGAAAGCTTCCCTTCAGTTGCAGGCAGGATAATGCTCCGCTCACTCCTCCACATCGAAAAGCAGTTTAGCCCAGGAGACGGGCCAGTTGTCTGGGTTGCAGCAAAGTGTCCGGATGGATCACCTGTGGCCGGCACTTTCCTTCCGAACCGTCCTGCACCTGTCCAGACCCAATGAAGCGCTTGGTTGCCAGCTAGCATCTGAAAAGAGGGCACCGGGTGACTCCCGGGTTGCGTGTGTATGTGTGTGTGCAGCTGGTTTAGGCCATCTGGTTCCCTCATCTCAAAATCTGGGGCTGAGGCTAAGCCAGGCGCCTGAAAGGCAGTAGCGGCCCTGACCAGCCCCCGGTGGCTGTGAACCTCGAGGGAGGCCAGGAGGAGCAGCCCAGCCGCCGTGTGCTCTGCCAGATAAGGCCTTGTCTGTGTCTGGGCCTGACACGTTGCTTCCGAGACGGGAGCCTCTGGCGTGGGAGCGTGTCCTTGCAAAGCCAGCAGATTGGCCTCTTCAGCCGCCCACTTATTTTCTGCTGCATAAGCCGAGCAGAGCAGATTAGCCAGCCTGCGCCTGGTCGCCAGGAGGCCTGGCCCGAGCCCAGCCGGTCCTGGGCTGTGCCAGTTGCTGAGCCTGGCCGGGACCCCCTCCCTTGCAAGGAGGGGAGTGTGCAGGTAGATTGCCTCTGAGCAGGAGGCTCCATCTAGCACTTTTGGAACAGATTCCTCCGTGGGGGAGGAGGAAAAAAGCAAGCTCTCCACCTGCTTGGAAGTCACCGGCCAGCCCCCCCCCCCAGCCTCCTTCTTTGCGTGGGCCGTTTCCCTGGCGCTTTCTTTGACACCCATCCCTGAGTTTTATGGCATAATGGAAAACTCCTGTTAACACTCCACCAGACGGCAAACAGGAGCGAACATTATGAAGCAGCTGACAACCAGTGCAGAGGAGGTGTGAAATATAATGGCTCTAATATTGCAATTAGACAAGGACAACTCTTTTCTGTCTCTTTCATCCCAGGCCTTTTTTTAATTAGCAGGAATAATAACATCCAGGCACAAAAGCCTGAAGTGGAGGGAAGCTGCTGGGGGGGAGGGGGGGAGGCTGGCACACTGAAAGGGAAGCAGCTTCAAGGCTTTTCTGGGGGGCCCTGAGGCAGAGAGGGCAGGATGGGCAGCCTCACTGTCTTCGCAAGGACAGGAGAGGAGGAGGCGAGCAGTAATCCTGCAAAAAGGTAAAAAGCATTCCTTGAACAAGCTGTTCTCTTTTTAAAAACAAAAAACATCCCTCCTGTTGCTGCCTTTTCCAGCAAGAGCCACTTGACTGCAGAGGAGGAAGAGAGCCCGGCTGTTCCCAGGCCTGCTTCTCCCAAAGGAAAGGCTGGAAAGGCCTGAGAAGACGGCCGTGGGTTGCCTGCCTGCCTTCCGATGCCCGCTGAGCCAGAGGGCATCGCTTGGGAAAGCCATGAGGGCTGAATGTGGGTCCAATCCAGGGGCAGAGTGTCCCAAGGGTCACATTATGGCCACGAGAGGGGTCAGAGCCAAGGGGCCCTCCTGGGGGTGAGCTGGTTTTGAGGCAGGTGCAAAAGAAGAGGGGGCTATGTGAGTTACTAGGGCCCCAAGACCCTTTTAAGGCTGAAGCCCTCGGCTGAATGGCTGCCTGCCTGCCTTGGATTCACCCTCTTCCATAAGCATCTGGTAGCTTAGTGCGCACTTAAAGGGGGGGCCAAAACAAAATAATTAAAACGCAGGCGGAGGCAGTGAAATCATGCAAAGCCAGAGCAACTTAGTCATATGCTGCTTAAATGGATAAGTTGGACTTAAGATTTATCTTTTTGGATAAAAGAGGATGATCAATTAAATGAGTATCGGCTGGAAATGGACTCACCGATCAACCCTAAGTGGATGCCTATAAAAATGCCGGATGGGAAGCAGCAGAGCAAATGGGATGGTAAATGAGGAGATGAGACCCAGAAGAGCACAAAGATGGAAGGAGAGGGTAGAAGAGAAGAGGACGTTACCAGGAGGAATTTTAAGCGTAAGTCACATAGAACTGCCATGAAACACATCCGGGAACCCAAGGTTCATCTCTGTGTGCAAACTTAAAAACTGAGTTTTCAAAACATGGGTTTAAATGCTCTTTGAGTCCTGAGGCCCTGGGGGAGGGTCCCTCCCTCCCCCCACCAGCAGCCTCATTAAGACTTGAACAAAAGCGTCCCCCCCCTTTTTTTTCTCAGCCTTACTGGTGTTCAGTTACATCGGCCATTGACAGATCTGAAGGCCCTTCCATCAGCAAGATCGTAAGGTCTGGGAGACGGCTTTTAAAACAAAGGTAAAGCTTGAAAGAAAGCAGGCAAGGATAGATGTTCTTAATTTAAAAACTCAAAAAGCATCAGTGGACTTTTTCCAAATAACTTTTTAAAAAAATCCTAGGGAGCAGGAACAAGTGTTTGGCCTCTTACTTAGTTTGCTTAATTCTGCTTGATGTTGAGGGTCTGTGTGTGG